CATCTAATAGTGGTTTCAAGTATTACTTACTCCTTGTTGATGACTTTAGCAAATATAGTTGGTTCTTTCCATTGCAGTCAAAGTCAAATGTTACATTTGTTACATTCAAAAACTATGTAGAAAACTTACTTGGAAATAAAATCAAGGTTCTGCATTCAGATTCAAGGGGTGAATTTACTGGTCATTCTCTTGCATCATTTCTTAATGAACATGGTATACTACATCAATTTAGTTGTCCACATACCCTGAACAAAATGGTTGTGCTAAGAGGATAGCATAAACATCTTGTTGAGACAGCTCGGACTTTGCTTGTTGCCTCCCATGTTCCTCAGGTTTTTTGGGTTGAAGCATTCTCCACTGCCATGTATCTTATTAATAGATTTCCCATTTCTGGTCTTACAAAGTCACATTTGGAACTTATTTTCAATCAGTATCCAGATTACTCTAAACTCAAAATGTTTGGTTGTCAATGTTTTCCATGGCTTAAACCTTATATTCATAGCAAATTGGATGCTAAGAGCAAAAGTTGTGTGTTTTTGGGATATCGTCTTCAACATAAGGGCTATATGTGCCTTGATCCCATCACAAACAGAATCTACATATCAAGACATGTAGTCTTTGATGAAGGTACTTATCCATGTCAATCACTGCAACTCCAGAATTCAAGTTCAGATAGCTTGCCTTCAGTGTATTCTCCATCTTTGGATCTTCACTTCAGCAAACATCTTCACCATTCTGTCACAGGTAGTGTATCTTTAACACCGCAGTGTACTTCCGTACCTGTTCCCCTGTTCATACTACTCAGAACTCAACTTCTACTAGAAATAATTCAGGGAACAATTCAGTGGATACTTCTCAGAGTTCTTCAAGTTCTATCTCCCTCTCAGTATCTTCCCTCTTGCCAACAATTCAGACAAGTCATCCCCCTATTTTTGGAAATTCACATCCTATGATTACAAGATCTAAGGCTGGGATATACAAGTCTAAGGCTTATGCAGCAACAAAACATCCACTTCCAGTTGATCTTGAATTTGTTCCAAGTACTTATTTGCAAGCATCAAAGTATGCTCATTGGAGAGTTGCAATGCAAGATGAATATAATGCTTTAATGTCCACAGGCACTTGGTCCCTTGTTCCTTCCTATTCTTCCCAAAATATAGTTGGTTGTAAGTGGGCATTCTGAGTCAAGAAAAAGCCAGATGGCACTGTTGATAAGTACAAAGCCCGCCTTGTGGCAAAGGGTTTTCATCAACAAGAAGGCATTGACTTTCAAGAAACCTTTCGTCCAGTTACCAAACCGGTCACAATTCGAGTTCTTCTTACACTTGTTGTTCAATACAAATGGTTTTTGAACCAATTAGACATCAGTAATGCCTTTCTTCATGGAGATTTAAAGGAGGATGTTTACATGCAACAACCTCTAGGCTTTATTGATCCACTCTCTCTAAGTTATGTTTGCAAGTTAAGAAAATCTCTGTATGGTTTCAAACAAGCTCCTCAAGCTTGGTGATAAACTCTTTCAAGTTCTGCATACACTTGGGTTCAAACAATCTTCATCTGATGCCTCTTTGTTTGTCCTAAATAGTCCTCAATTGGTTGTTGTTCTCGTTTATGTCGACGATATCCTTGTCACTGGACCCAACTCCTAACTCTGTCAACACTTCATTCAGTAACTGAGTACTCGATTTCTAGTGAAAGACCTTGGTCTTTTACATTATTTCTTGGGATTAGAAGTACACAGATCAAACAAAGGGATATTTCTTCATCAAACCAAGTACTTGCTTGATCTTCTCAAGAAAACAAATATGAAGGGTGAAAAACCTTGTTGTACACTTCTTGGTTCCAAGAAACTGGATCATAGTGGGCCACTCTTGTCAAATCCCACTGAATATCGTTATATAGTTGGTGGCTTACAATACCTTACTTGGACTCGACCGGACCTTGCTTTTGCTGTGAATCAAATATGTCAATTTATGCTTGCTCCAAGGGAACAACACCTTCAGGCAGCCAAACGAGGTCTCAGATTTCTTAAAAGGTCTATTTCACATGGTTTATGGTTCACAAAGGGTCATGTTCACCTCTCAGCATATTCTAATGCTGATTGGGCTGGTTGTACCTTTGATAGGCGTTCAACTAATGGATATTGCGTTTTTCTTTGCTCCAATCTCATTAGCTGGAGTGCCAAGAAACAAAGCACTGTTGCCTACTTATCTACATAGGCTGAATATCATTCTTTAGCTCACACAGCTATAGAAGTCACTTGGGTTTGCAAAATTCTATGTGATCTTCACTTTCCTTTTCCTAAACTGCCTACTTTATGGTGTGGCAATATCTCAGCAATCTCATTAGCATCTATTCCTATTTTTCATGCTCACACCAAATATGTTGAGATCGACTACCGGTACATTCGAGAATTGATCCTGGCAAATATTATCAAAATGCAATTTGTTTGCAGTGAAGACCAATTGGCTGATCTTCACACCAAGTCCTTGTCTAAAAGCAGATTTTCTTATCTGTGTTCCAAGCTTGCAATTGGAATCATTTCTGATTCCCCTCTTTGCTTGAGGGGTGTATTAGGGAGAATGACAAGTCATCTATTTCAATTACTATTAAATAGTGTGTTCAAACTAAATGTAATTAGTTGTGATAATTGGTGAGATTAGTTAAGGTAGTTAAGGGATTAGTTTAGTCAGTTAAGGGTATTAATGTAAATAACTAGTGGCTATATATATCTACTTTTGTGTAAATGATTATTCAGTTAATACAATTGAAAACTTACAGAGGAAGTTTTCAGTTTGTACAACCTTTCCCGTCCCAAAATCCATTTGAACCACAGCCTTGCTTTTGCCATTTTCGGACTCAATCGAGGTAGGCTCAGTTTCCTTCTCTTGACTCTATGTTTAAACAATTTGTTAATGAAAAGGTTCAGATAAAACTGGTTCAGAAGATTAAAACAAACACATACGCACACGCAAGCGCGCAAATCAAAGATGAAATATTGTTTACCTCAACTACGTCTTAGGCGAAATCTTGGTTGGCATTTGAGGTTGGTTCCCATTGTACCAAGGCGTGACTGCTAGACTCGGAAGCAGCAATCTCATTGTTCCAGTGGTTGCAGTTGGCTGCGAGTCTTGAGCCTAGTTAAGTGAAATATTATCAGAATTTAAGAAATGAAGATCTATATGGATAGAACAAGGTTTTCAAGTACATGATCAGCCTATTGATTCTGAAGTCCTTGGTTGGAAACAATGACAGTAGTACGACAGGGAAGTTGAGTCGCAAAAGGTCAACCAATGAAATTTGTTTTATGGTTTACTACATTGGCAATGGTTTCTAGGTTCAGATGAATTTGCCCTCTGGCTAAAGATGTTACGCCACTAGGGTCTTAGGGTCTCTCATAGACAATGCAGCCAATCTGGTGGTTGCATCGTCCTCTTGTGCCTGAATAATGGATAGAGAATCTTGAATCTGAAACTGAAAGTCATACCTAAACTATTGAAGACGGCATATTTAAAAAATTAATAAAATAAAAAACATATACATTTAAACTATAGTTAGACAGAACCTAAGGCTCATCGAATTAAAAAACGTTGTTACCTTTTCTGTCCTAACATCCCTTTGAACCATAGTCTTGCCTTTGCCATTTTCTGGCTCAAATGAGGTAGGCTCAGTTACCTTCTCTTGACTCTATGTTCAAGAAATTGTTAACAAAAAGGCTCAAATATACACTATATTTCTTATAACATCAACCTTGGCATATGCCTTCCTTGAGCTTCTCAGGGCCTTCCTTAGTCCTTCCATCGTTTGCCTTCTTCCATTTATAGCCATCATTTTTAAAATGTTTCTGCACCGTCTTATCAAAAAGAAAAATGGATCCACCTAACACAAATGATGTGTGTCAAGCAAAAATAGGTTTCATATGTTTCCAAATAAAGCAATGCAATGTTCACATGCATCCAAATGATCAACAGTTCAAAACTTATCAAGGGAATTTTCAGCGGACATCCAAATGAATCTTCAAAGAATGATGCAGAAAGAAAAATAAAATTCCTAAAATGCTAAAGAAAGTTAAGTTACAAAAAATAGAAGTAGCACAATCGAAAGATTAGTGATTGATTAATACATAATGTAAACAGCCATAGGTTTCTCATTCCTAAACTCGGGATGTTGTTTATTACATAACTTCATTACAATAAATAATATGCTGATTCTATTTGAATCTAAAAAATTACTCACCTCCACATAAAGCAAAACCAGTCTAACATGGCCAGCACCGTCAGGAGAGAAGGGGAAGGTAAGGTAGCGTTTGGTACGCAGACGGAACGGGACGGGACAGGACGGGACGGGACGGAACGGGACGGGACGGGACGGAACAGATGTTCTGTGTTATGTTTGGTACGCGCAGGACGGAACAAGACGGTTGTTCCGTCCTGCGTTTGGTAGCACATGGACAGAACGGAACCAAAAGATTAAAATGACTAAAATACCCATGTTCCGTCTGTTGTTTGGTACAATTTTATGGGCGGAACGGGACAAGACTCTTATTTTTTTATTTTATTTATTATTATTATTATTTTTATATAAGTTGTTCAAATTTGAACACTATTATCCATTATTTGTTTTTCTTGGTCCAAATTTTAATAGGCATATGTTGTGTTTCACATGCAAACCCCTTTAAAATTTGTAATTTTTCCCGTTTTCTACATCTCCATTCGAATTTTCACCACAAACCCATCAAATTTTATTGTGCAAATTGCAAAACCCACATCCCAATTCAATTTTTAGTCCCTAATTTTGGTCCTTTCAATTGTGGGTTGTTGTTCAGGGAGTTTAGGTTCTACAAACATTAGAATTGGCCTTGTTTAGAAGGACACCCCTCTAAATATTCGCCATTGCAGGAACAAGGCAAACCACATAAGAGCACATGACAAATGTTGAAAAATATATAAGTTTAATGATCATGCATATCGTAAACATTTTAGGGTTTAAACATTTAGAACTTAAACAAAGAAAATGAAATATGCATAACTTAAACATGAAATATCCAAAATCAAACATTCGTCCTGACTTAAAAAACAAATAATGTCTTGCTAAAGTAATAATGAAAACACTTAGAAGTTGATAAAGTTCCCCATACTAAAACCACAAATACTAAAACCCCAAATGCTCAAAGGCTCTCCATAAACACTTTAATGAAATCTGGCTTCTGTGAGTCATCCAAGGTGGTCCAAATACCCATCAGATCGGTTGACTCTTGATAAGCCTGTTATAGATAACAAAGCTTAAGTTTTTTAGAACAAATAAGATATTGATTGCATAAAAAAATAGTTGACATGAGATATTGGTTGACAAGAGATCATGGGGTTAGGAAAAAAATTTGAGAAATTTGTAACTAAATTACAAACTACAATCAAATAGAACGCATGCTATCAATCTTTAAAGTTCACCCTAATATTGTTTTTCAGTCAGCATCACAAGTTTATCTGCAACTATAAGAGATGAGAGGTAAAAAAAATTGAATTCTGAGTTGGTTGGTTGCATGCAAGAATATAGAGCTGCAAACTTATGAGCTATGAGAAGGAAAGATTGAGCCTTATCCTTTTTGCCAAACATTTACTTTTCTGAAAGAACAAGCCAAGTTTTGTTATGTCCCAAATATCTAATACAACCTTAATTGATTGGGAAAATATAAATATACTGAGAGGGTCAAACAGATCAGAAAGAAGTAGGCTTATGGGCATTTCTGAGTAAATTTCCTCACCTGCTTGGCAAGACTGCAAGCCCGGTCAGGAGAATTTAGAATCTCGTAGTAAAACATAGAGAAGTTCAAAGCCAATCCTAAAAATTAGTTTGGCAGGGTTATGTGACAACTTCTTTCAAGGAAAGCAAACCGAAGTAGAACTCAATACTAATACTGCCTTACATAAAAATTGTTGCAATTTAATAATGAAACGTTTTGAATAATCAGTGTCAAAGGCTATGTTGCACAGATTGACACAACTAGGACACAACAACTATAATATAACAGCATTACATATATCAATTTATAATATAAGGAAGTACTCGTGCTAGATGCTAGAACCAAGTGAGGACATTCCCAGAACCTTTCTGTTTCGAAAGGTGAATAGAGCTTGACAAGTTGCTCTTGAAACTATCCACTATTCATACATTGTATACATAATCAGCTGGCCTACCATCAAATTTTACATTCCAACTATGCTACCACATTGTCAAGCACAGAAAACTGAAGCTCTATTAACAATTTACATTAAATCTACGGACTCAACTACAAAAGCATTGCCATGTAATGGATAGTAAAAAATTCATACCCAGTTCATCCAATTCAATCACGATCGGCTCCACACCAAGCCTTTTGAATAACGATTTCACCTCAGATGAGTACCTTCAAACACAATTTCCAGAAAAAAAAACCCAATTCAAATTTCTCGAAAAGAAACCAAATTTACAGCAAAAACAACACCCAAATTGCAAATTTACGAAATTTAATAGCAGAGGAGATTTTGATAAGATGTACTCACGAACACCAAGTTTTGGAATAGACGACAACAGGGTTCTCATCCACCGTCTTCTTAACGCTCTCTTCGAGCCGGGAACCGAAGGAGGAGGAAGCCATGGCCTGAACCGACATGGGTCTCCATCGTCTCGAGCCGCCATGGACGCTGGAAAGGTTGGTGAAAGGAACACAGAAAATGGATGACTTGTTTGCAGACGAAAGAATGCGAGGGGAATTTAGAGAAACGGATGCGAAATTGGTGAGATTATATGAGACTGCCATTGCTGTTGTTGCTGTCTCTCTCTCTCTCTGTCTCTGGCTTCCGCTTTCGTGGAGCTTTTTGCTTGGCTTTTTGAAACTCCATCTGGGTCGTCGTAGGTTTCGGCGACGGCGGCGGCGGTGGAGAGGGTGCGGACGAAGTCGGAGGCGGTGGAGGCGGGTTTTGTGGTTAGGGTTTGGCGGCGGATGAGCAGGAAGGTTGCGAAGGGGAAAGGGATGAAGATGAGCAGGAAGGTTGCGAAGGGGAAAGGGATGCAGAGGTGAAGAGAAACGGCTGAGAAGAAGAGATTTTGTTTTTAGGGTTTGTTAACTGATTTTGAAGTTGTAAATTTTGAAAAAGACCAAGGGTATTTTTGTCTAAAAATATTGGAAATTTCTGTCCCACAGACGTGGAACAACCCGTTCCAGGGTGGGGGTGTGGAACAAAAAATCATCCAAAATCTGTTCCGTGGAACAACGCGTTCCACTCATTTTAGGCACACCAAACGCGGGACAGAACGCCTCGTCCCACTCTGTTCCGTCCCGTCCCGCGTACCAAACGCTACCTAAGGGAACTAAAAAAAAACGAATTTTTAGTTTTCTTTAACCCTTCAAGGATAAATAGTAGATTTAAAATTACAGGGAACAAAACATCAATTGTTACAAATACTACTTTAAATTACCCAATACAATATTTGTTAACAAATGCAATGCAGTAGAAAGTCATACTCGGTTAGTCACTTTCGAGCCGTTTTTCAGCCAAACCATGGTGAATTAGCCATCAAGAAATATATCATTCTCTTCGTGTCATTGAGAAGTATGATTCTCATTATGAATCACTCGATTTCGTTGAGTATTGAAGAAGTTATGAACGTTTAAAGTTTACCTAGTTTCTGGCGAGTTTTCCAGTTTTCTCACAGACCAATCACCTTTCAGGCTATTTTCCAGCTATCTCTAGCAACCATTGAGCTTCCAAATAGGTATAATCTTATTCTACACTTTCTTATCTTCATTTTGATATATTATGGGTTGAATTTGGTTAAGAAACGATTGAGTTACGAAGCTTTGAAAATTGCCCAAACTTCCGGTCAAGAGCTCCGGGACACTTAACGGAGTTTTTAATGAAAGGACCAAAATAATGGATGGTAGACAATCTCAGGGACCATTTCTATTGATATTTAATCTTAATGACCAAAGAGATGTGTTATGTAAATCTCAGAGACCATTTTGACTAAAAAGCCAATAATTTAACCCATTACGACAATCATTTGTCAAAAAAAGAAAATTGTAGTTGGTGGAATTTGCTTTTAATTAGACCATCAAAAAGCTAAGTATTGGTTAGAAAAATGGAAAGAAAAAAGAAAAAGGAAGGCAAAATGGAAAGAAAAAGAAAAAGGAAGGGAAAATGATTGTTCTTGATTCTACATGTTTTGGGCAGATGTGAAAGTTGCTCATGATCTTGAGATTGAATTTCAGCCACATTCTAAAAAGCACAAAACATGTAAACAACATTTCAGTTAAATTTTAGTCCACATTTCTCATAGTAGAGAACTTGTTTTCAAATTAGGGTCTCAGAGTGGCCTCGTAAAAAAGCTTCCCCGAAAAAGCTTGGATGAGAAAAAATTTGAATTTTTCTCAGAAGTACGTAACATTGAATGATACATAGATTGAAAATAGAAGATTTAGATAATTGTGAAATTCAAAAATAACATTTTAAGACACACGTAGCATAGGATGTTACGTAATGTCACACTGGAAACGCATATGAGAAAAAAGTACACCCCAACTTTCACCAAGTTACTTCATCATCCAACAAAAAATTAAAAGTACTTCATCTAAACTACATATTAATAGAACCATCTTTATCAACTAAAAGATGGTGAAAATACTATTTAGTCTTATATTACAACAAAATGATTAAGAGCAGTAATGTAATTTTACAAAACAAAATTTTGCTATTTTTTTGTTTAAGTTTCACCTACAAGTGATTTTAACATTTTAATTTTAAAAAAATTAAATAAAAATTAAAAAATAAACCTCTCTCCCCACTCTCACTAAGATAAAAAATTTCACACTTTGTATGTGGACATATACTAGTTAATCATAAAATTAACTCCTTGGATCAGTGTAAGAACACATGGAGCCCACCAAGCTCTTCATGTCTGTAGAGCCTTATGGAACTTAAAGATATGCTCATGAAGATATAAGTAGGGGACATTACGCTGCAACAAATGCTAAAACGTTGCCCCCTACACTACCAATTTCAGGAAATTTGAGGAGGACATGGTAAACCGTCATTGTTCAGAACACGAATCAACAAAGATGGGGGACAGTTAGCGCATGTGAAGTTGCACATCTATGTATACCTATTCGACGCTAAACGGTCCGCTATCATGTTGGCCGATCTTAGAATCCAAGACCAGCGGCAAGCATGAAAAGACTCCTAAGCTGCCTGATTTTCATCAAGGAAGGGAAGGCCTCCCAGCTGCCAAATATTGAAGAGTCCTGCAAGCAAGATATATTTTTTCTGAGAGCTAACCAAGAACTTTGAATAACACAATTCAATGAAGGCCTTGACAGCTGACCTAGAACATTGAATAACACAATTCAAGAAATGGCAAGATACACAACCAGTAAGAATATAATCATCAATGAATGAGATTCGAAACCCGATACGAAATTACGAAACTTGTATTTGCTCCACATCCTCTTTAGTGAAAAACTATTCAAAATCTGTTACTTTTTTTTTTTTTGGAGCAGAAGCTTATGTATGTAGGAGTTTTAAGCCTCCTTTAGTCCCACATCGGGGAACTCAAGTTCCCTAGAAGCCTTTATTTAGGGTTAGTCACCTTTATTAATGGTTAGGTATTGGACCACTTAGAATGAGAATTGAGGTTTGAGCCACTAATTGTGTGGATTAAGTTTGATGATTATACAATATTAATATTATTAATCAAGACAAAAGCCTTGAGCCTCGAGGCTTAAGAAGTTAAAATTAATCAAAGTTCTTTAATTTTAATTTTGAATTAAGTTTTTTAATTAAATTAATTAAAAAACGTTTTGATTAATAGACACAACTATTTGGAAAAAATTGTGTGGTTTCAAATACAAACAAAAAGTATTTGAAGAGGTATGAAAGAACCTATATAACTGAAGTCTCATTTCCATCATATAACATATTTTCCTTTCCCATCTCTCCCATACAAAACCTTACAGAGGGCAAACACACAAAGCTATTCGTCAGAATTCTATAATCCGATGCAGGTTGTAGAATTAGATGGTTGTATCTTGATCAGGCAAATGTCGTAGAATCACAAGCACAAGAGTAGGACAGAAATATTGTTCGAAGGACATAGCTTTTACGCTAGCCTCTATCTATGATTTAATCAAGTTAGTATCATTTATGGCATGTTTACGTAAGGGTAATCGGAATAAGGAAAGGGAATTGAATTCCGATTACGGAGAATTCCGTGTAGGAACTATAAATGGTTAGTCTTCAACAAGGATCACAAACAACATATCTTACATATAACATGACAAGAGTTGGCATTAAAAAGAGATCGACCATACCTGAGAACCCATCTGCCGAGCAACAAAGACAGCAGCAACACCAACTGAAAAACCTAGTGCAAGCTATGTTTACTGGTAACACATAAGCATTCTTCTACTCACTCAAGACCTTATGTTCCAATGGTGATAGAACCCTGATTACAGAATGTGTTCTTTGTGAGCAGGAATCCTTTATTATATCGAACTGAACTTCTCCAACTTCCATCTATCAAGATGATTGGATAGCAACTGCTATGAACTGCAGTTATCAGTTTCTTTTGACGTGGAGCAATGTAAGCATCCTTATCACATCCCATATCCCTTAATTCTAGGAGATCAGTTATTGACATGGCCATGACTCCTAATTGGTTTGAACCCACGTTTAGGTATCCTTATCATGATATGTGTAAGTTCAAAACCTAACATTCTCCCACTTTTGAACTTCCACTTATCATGTTCCTTGTCCAACGTATTAAGCCAATCCCTTTGTGATCACTCAAGTCATGTCAACCATACAACAACTCATATTTGCCATGAATAGCTTCAAAAGTTGAACCCCAGAAAATTAGTACTTCATAATTTGTACTAACACTCTGAAATCACATCCCTCAAAACTACTCATGCATGATATTAACAGAGCAAACAAACATATTTAACATGTCTATTATTTACACTCCCACTAATCAAACCAAACATCATTGTCAAGCCATTGTTTGGCTCCAATGATAAGCCTTTTGCAATAACCAGCTCATTAAACCTCGGTTTGATTAGTAATTCATCATTTCAAACATTGCATATATATATGAAACAACATCAAATATGATACAATCATATTCGATCCTTTATCAAAATCCAATGAGTTTGCCTAATGCTTCCAACCGAGCCTCAATTCTGCCTTATGCAGATAAACTAGTCATTGAGTGAATAACCATGACATGCAATTTTATGTAACAACTTTGGGCAAGAGACAAAATATCAGTTATGCAATCTTAATCATGCATCCTTATTTGCAGAGCTATTTCACAAAAATTTCAAGTTACAACTCAAATCATGCCTTTGGACAAGGGAACAAAGTTGACTTAAAACTTTTATAAAATACTACACGCTATATCACAGTTCAAGCCATTCACTATTTCTTTCTTTTGAAAGATTGGTCTTATGCAATGAACTGTCACTCACAAAATTCAATTAAGAATCCCTTGAACAAAATTTCCTAATAATTCCCACTTTGGTGAAGATTTATTCAAACATCTGTTCAAGTATAGAGATTATTAGTGTTGAAAACCTGCATAAAACTTTAGCATTTCAATTTGATTGTAGAAATCATCCAAACGTCAAATAAAAAACCAATTTTCTACACAAGTTATAATTATAGATTATTTTCACATGTATCAGGAACCTTGCAACCTACCAGCCATATTCAAGTTCAACATAAATTTACTAAGCTACAATCTACACCAATGCCTATTGCCAATACATATTTAGATATCAAGAAACTGATTTCAATCATATACCAGATTTCAATCAGATATCGATCATCGTTTGTGAATCTGAAACAACCATGACTACCAATTCTAGAATGATAAAAGCGCAGCTTACAGTGTTTTAATCTCGAAACCATATATTCCTTTTCCTGCTGTGAATAAAACTTTGGCAGCAGCATATGGCATTAGAACAATTAATCATGCTATAGAAAAACTGTAGCAATCATCATACGAATTTTATACATGCATAAAGCATTAGGATTTCTTATCACAATAAACAAATAGCACAGGATCATAGCCGAGGTATTCACTGAAGAAGACATGGAAAAATCGTTGAAATGCATACTTATAACATACCTTCAGTTAAAACTATAAGCAACCATTCATTCTTTATTGTACACCCACCATTACAAGATCTTTTCATGCAATTATATCAAGTATATGGCAGCACCATCTGCTGTCTTCTGACAGCACGCATGGGAAAGACTTGTGTAACACACATGGGAAAGAAGTCTGAAGGTTATACTTTAACAGTAACAACATGGGAATGCTTCTGACAGCACACATGGGAAAGAATGAAAGCATTAGAGTGATACCTCAGCATCTGCTTCTGCCCGCATAACACAGCAGCGGCACAATCTCAAAACGTGAAGATTCCCAGTCCTTAAATCTATCCTGATACGCCAGTTGAAATCATCTGGAAAACTGTAAGGACTATCTTAAGAAGACATGGAAAACTTGAAACAATCATTAGTGATTGTCAAATGCATGTTTATATCACACCTTTGGGCAAGAGATATAAACTGACATTGACCTTCATTGTATAGCCATCATTCAAGGATCTTATCATGCAATTATTACAAGTCTTTGGACAAGAATATGGCCTGATCTACATGATGCCATACACTGATTAAAACCACCAACAATTTATACATCCCCTTCTTTGGAAAAGAATGTGAACATTTCTTGAGTTTTAAACCACAACCATTCTTCCTTTACTGTAATCGAACAATGTTCTTAATTGTTCTTAACATTTACTGCAAACCAAACTGTTAGTATAGTAGCAAAAAAGATAAAACTCCAAGTGATATAGTTCCAACAATATACGGATCATTATATTGATCACAACAGAAATAGATGAAAAATGTATTCTCACTGCAGCCAAACACGTTGCATATGCAGATCATAAAGCCACTTCATCTTCCATTTTTAAATAAATGGGATATAATCATACTAATAAACTAATGAAAAACATCATTTGATTAGTCATGTCCCAGAGCATGCACTCAATCTGTTGTTTAACGAGGAAACTTTACCAGAAGAATCACAGCAGCAGATAGCACACACACTGCAGTATAATTTTACCAAGATACATTCTCGCAATGTTCATTTACACACCATCAACCAGTGCATGAAAATAGTTTAGTTTCAACTTTACTTGCATGCACCCAAGGAGATCAAGGAAGAAAATTGAAATAAATAAAAAATACGCATGCTTATGAAGAGAAAAATTTACAAGCATCCAACATTGCACAAAAACAAACCACTTAAAATTGCCCTTCTTTGTAGAATTTGCCTAATTCTGTGTCTTTTCAACCAAGATGAAAGCAACATGCAGGTTCTCTAAGCAGAGATTGGGTTTCACAAGTTTGGTGACCTAATCATCTTTTTACTTGTACTTGCATATATAAACAATCAAGAAACATTACAGGAACTTGTAATTAGGAATTAGGCAACAATATATCGAGGCAACCATGAACCAAGAAATCAAAATAGTCATAAATAAATGCCTCAAAATAATAAATGAAACCATCATTAACCAAGGTAGCCATGATGTAGGGAATTAGATGTTGTCATGAATCCAGGCAACAATCACCGATGCTAACATTAGGGGCTAGGTTGAGGCAATTCTCTTCCCCGTACAGCAAATATTCCCAGTTAATGATATAGGTATAAATGTTAAGATAATTAAGTTTGAATCCAAGTAGACTAACCTTGCTCTGATACCAAATGTAGGAACTATAAATCGTTAGTCTTCAACAAGGATCACAAACAACATATCTTACATATAACATTACAAGAGTTGGCATTAAAAAGAGATCGACCATACCTGAGAACCCATCTGCCCAGCAACAAAGACAGCAGCAACACCAACTGAAAAACCTGGTGCAGGCTGTGTTTACTAGTAATACATAAGAATTCTTCTACTCACTCAAGACCTTATGTTCCAATGGTGATAGAACCCTGATTACAGAACGTGTTCTTTGTGAGCAGGGAATCCTTTATTATATCGAACTGAACTTCTCCAACTTCCATCTATCAAGATGATTGGATAGCAACTGCTATGAACTGCAGCAATCAGTTTCTTTTGACGTGGAGCAATGTAAGCATCCTTATCATGTCCCATATCCCTTAATTCTAGGAGATCAGTTATTGACATGGCCATGACTCCTAATTGGTTTGAACCCACGTTTAGGTATCCTTATCATGATATGTGTAAGTTCAAAACCTAACATTCCAGTGTTTACTAAATATTAAGGAATCAAAAAAGTGGTGGAGCCCACACGATACAAGGAATTCAATTCCTGAAATTGGAGGAACGGGATTCCCTAATTTTGTGAGGTATTTGAATTCCCTGAGGGTAAGGGAATCGGGAATGGGTCTTTTATTCCTATTATGCCCTCACTTGTTTCTTATTATCCCAACATTGCCCTTCATTTGACACTCATTATGACATTTTTAATAAATAAAAAAAACCTATTTGTATATTTTTATATAGATAATTTTATTATATAAATTTAATTAAGAATTTAATATAATTAAAAAGTATGAAAGTAATTTATTTATGTAAGGACAATTTAGTCATCAACTTAGTTTTCATTCCGATTGAAATGAATTAGTAAACTTATATGGACTCAACATCATTATTGCCATCTTTTAATAAATAAATAAAACCTATTTATATATGTTTATATAGATGAATTTTATTATATAAATTTAATTAAGAATTTAATTTAATTAATTAGTATGAAAATAATTTATTTATGTAAGGGCAATATAGTAATCAACCTAGTTTTCATTCCAATTGAAGTAAATTAGTAAACAACCTCTTTGGACTCGACATCATTCTCACTCCGATTCCAGACAGTTTTAGTAAACTTCTTCAACAGGAATCTGATTCTTATTCCACCTCATTTCATTTCCTCCTCAATCTAATTCCCCATCAATCTAATTCCTCTCAATTTGATTACGGATTAGTAAACGCGCCATTAATTCATGTAATTATTTTTGTTATTTTATTCTGTATTACAAGTATATTTTGTTAATAAAGAAATAGTATTTCAATTTCTGTCATTTTATTTATTTTCTGAATTGTTCTCCAACAATGTAATGTAATGTATGCTTTGGAAATTTCCAAAAAAAATGCTTTCCTTTAATCATAATTTTTCAAGTAAATGATGGACTAGGATTCTCTCCCTCTTTTTTCAAACCCTTTCCATCCCCTCCTTTTACGTTGTCTTATTTTGTTTTTCTCTTGTTATGAAAAATTAATATAAGATGTTGACGTAGCTTAACCGTAATCGTTCAAATAGGAGGGGAGGGAAAGGGAGGGAAGAAAAGAAGGCAGAGAATCCTACTGTAAAGGATATAGTCTATGAACTTAAGACCAACCTGGTTCTGTCAATAGCAGACGCGCCAGCTTGGCCGGCGAGCTGCCGCTTCCAAGCATACGCAACAACAGCTCTGTCGGGACAAACCAATGGCATATGTAGCCCCCAAGAATTGCTCCGTGATCGCAGCGACTCGTTTAGAACTCCAGATTCTTCCAGCTGGCTTCCTAACAAAAATAAGGGCGACACCCTTAAACATTTGTGGATTTTTCAATGCGAGATAGGTTATTGTGAATCAATTCCTAGAGAGAGAGAGAGAGGAGGTACCGACGGAGCAGAGGTAGAGGAGGTGTTGGCGCATGGAGGCGTCCTCGTTAAGGAACAAGTGGAGAGGCTTGGAGCTCTGGTGAGGTTGAGTGGCCAAGAATAGGGCTTGGCGGAGGCGGTTGGCGCGAAGCCTAATGCCCGCGATGAGGCGGCCGGCTTGAGAAAGCCGCTCCATCACCTGCGCCATCTGTTTGGCAGCGCCTTAACAGAGGGAAGTTACAGCAGCGTAGAGTTCTAGGTCATTGCTTGCGGTTGTTGTTGTTGCAGCTGCTGCTGTATCGTCGTCTATGGTACTAGGCGATGTTCTGGATCGTTTCGCCATCAGTATTCCAGGTGCCTCGTTTGAAATGAAATTTTCAGCATGCCTGTATTGCCCTCACTTATTTTAAAAAAATAACGTGAGTTACCCCACCACAGTGCTCTTACACTACATAACCGCAGGCGACGGAATCCGACAACTTTTCGGCGTCAAATGAAGCCGTCAGGGTGATCTGGGTTTTGGAGACATCAACAGGTCGATTAATGTGCAACGTCCAATGAATCTAACTGAATAGCTGCGATGAAAAGGAGAGAGAGAGAGAGTCAGAATGAGTTAGGGTAAAACCGAAAAAGAAAGGTAAAAACCGAAATCGGACAGATTCCTTATGGTAAAAACGGAAAGCAGACGGGATTTGTACATGTAACAACCGAAATCTGACGAGAAAGATTTAGGGTAAAAACCGAAAGATAAAATGTACAAACCGAAATCACCTGTTTTTTGCGACACAATCATCTAAACCAAAGTCGGTTCTTTCCAGGTGAAAATCGAAAACGAACAGGACTATGGTAACAAACCGAACATTTTCGGTACTGTTTACTTTTAACGAAAAATCACATTTATACATTTTCCTGGTACTATTCACTGTACCTTTAAAAATAATTTTTTATTTATTAAAATGGAAGTTTTTTTGAACTTTTTCGATAGTTTTCTTAATTTTTAACCTAAAAACCGAAAACAAATCGGATTTTCAGCACAACAACTGTAAATTGAACCAAACTTTTAAGGTAAAAACCAAAACCAACCGGATTTTAAGGTAAAAACCGAATAACAAACCGTGTTTTCAAGGTAAAAACCGAAACCGATAGGGGATTCTTTAAGCTGAAAATCGAAACTGAACTTTTAAAGCTAAACAAAACTGACCAAAACCGATAACCGAAGCGATTCTTCGAAGGTAAAACTGTTCAAGGCGGAGGGACTGAGACAGATTGAGGGTAAAAACCGCAACCGAAACCTTGAAATCGGGTTGATTTGTTTTGATCCGAAGAGAAGGAAATGCAGAGAATCTGCAGCTGCAAAAATTCAAATTTGTTGCTCAAAAAATCGATAAGCAAAAACCCTAAATTTTTAATTGAAACGAAAAATTTCCTACGAGGAGGAGATTTTACCTACAAACACCATCCTTAAATTTTAGATTTTGAACTCGCAGATTGCTACAGGTACCCAACACTCATCTTTTTGCCGAGCCGGCGAAACGGTGAACCTCGCTTTCGACAAACCCCCCAATTCTCTTTCCTTTTTTTTTCCCATAATTTTTGCTTTTCATTTTTTTTTAAACATTCATTTTTTGTTGGGGTTTTTATCCAAAAAACATAAAATAAATTAGGAAATGTAATGTATTGAAAAACTTGAGCTAATTATATTAGAGTGTGCTATCCATACATCTCATTTTACTGCTCACACACCCCTTGATAATTTCTATCTATTGTTCTTCTTCAATTCATTTGATCCGACGACTAAAAATTAAAAAGGATGTGATAAGTAAAATGGAATGTGTGAATATCACATCCCAATTATATTTTGCACCCGTGATTTTCAAATTGGGTATGAGATTCCAATTTCTTCGCAATGCCCCTTGAGATTCTTAAATTGTATTAATTTATATATATTGTCTAAAAAATTGTTTGAATTTTACTAAATTGATGACATAATGAGCATAAAATCTGTAACTAAGTTGATATATAAACCACATTAACATAACATGATCTAAAAAACTCATCATTTAATGTATAATAGACGTTCAACAACAAGGGTAAGTTAATACAATTTCAAAAATTTACAGAGCAATTTAAAAACGTAATGGCCTAATTTGAAAATTACCTTAAAACTTAAAAGGGTATAAAATAATAAATATAGTTAGCCCGATAAACTTAAACAAATAATCTCTCCGAGTCGAACCTACAGTTATATCCAACTTTCCTAAATATTAACCATGATTGAAATATAAAAGCTTGAAATGACCAAATGTTACATAAATTATTAAAAAGAAAAATGGGTTATTGCTAATTTTAAACATCCATCAAAACCAAAATTTCCATTTATAAAGTGCAAAAGACCAAAATGCGGCCTTAAACAAAATTTTTCTGTGCATCGATAATACGACTCAGTACATTATATCTAATAATATAGCGGGGTAGAACAAAAAAAAAAAAAACAATTTCCAACCAATTATATGATGACACCTTCCGGTACACTTAAAAATCTCTCCCTTAAAAGAGTCCGTTGGCTAATGCGAGCCGATACAACACCAAAAAGAAAAGGAAAAAAAACTGCAGCCCAAATGCAACCCTAAGAAGGAAGTCACTGTAGGGAGGTGGTGGTGAATTATGCACTTCAAGGTTGTCCAGAGGCCATCCATCTCCAATATCCAAGATATTCTTGAGATTACCCTCATTTTCTTTAAATTGATCTTGCTGTAGGAGCAATTTCTCGAGATGTGCTTGGATTGGTTCAGTCTCTTTGACGGCACCATGAATTTCCGCAACCTGCCTAGCTTCAATCTTCATTTTCTTTTCCTCAAGTTCTTGAAATTCTTTCTCCATGCTATCACAAAACTGAACCCTAGGTTGAAGAAGCTGTTTTGAAGCTTCGACTTGGCCAATCAAGTTTTTGCCCATATCATACTCAGAATAGGCTTTGAAGTAGGCTAGAACAGATTGCTCTAGCTGCTTCAACATTGCCAAAATCATTGGTCTGGTGCTGGTGGGAAAGTAATTAGAATCTACCAAGCTCTGTATGCATGAAATCATGCGAGTTCGTTAAACCTCGCCAGCCATAGTAATAAAGTTCATTTCTAAAGTAGCTCTGGTTGTCGCTATGGCTTGCGAGTCTTTGGTGGGAGTAGAACTGGAGGAGCTGGGCAGTGTATTGGGTGCAGACACTGTCTAAAAGTTGATGGAGTCTTTTTTGGGAGCTTATCACCACTTCTGAACACTCGTGACTCTACAATAGAAAGACGTTGAAGAAAACTAATAAGGTCTCTTTAAGCTAGTGTCAAGGACTGGAATGGAATGGATATATACGATGTATGTCAAACAAAGACATGGGTGCTAACTTCCAAATTATGTCCAAGTCAAAGCTAGAAGATACATTAGTTTTGAAGGAAACTTTCTTTCCAAATTCTTGTTAAAGTCCCACATCGATGGGAATAAAGGAAACCAATGAGTTTAAATAGGATTACTCTACTCTAACTAATACCAAGGCATTTTGTGGTAAAACCCCACATCTGACGGATTGGGCAGGTGGTAAAGTTAAGAACAGTATCGGTGTCGTTAGAGTTGGGCCCCCCCGGGCCCGTCGTCTAAAAAAAAATTTAACAAAGTATCAGAGCCCACAGTTATGGGCCTGTGCAGTGGGCTTGGAAATGAGCTTGGACTCTTAACATGAAGTCGACTTCTGAGCTCTAAGAGTTGCTTCTTAAAAAAGATTGAAAACAAGTTTGGACTCCATTGGAGCCGACCTCTGAGTTTCAATTGCCGATGTGTGAATCTCCACGTATGAACCACTAAAATGGGGTTACACATGAGGAGGAGTGTTAAAGTCCCAAATTGGTGGGGATAAAGGAAACCAATGGGTTTAAATAGGATTACCCCACTCTAACTAATATCGAGGCCTTTTGTGATAAAACCTTACATCTGACGGATTGGGCAGGTGATAAAGTTGGGGACAATATCTATATCGTTAGAGTGAGGCCCCCCCCCCCCCCGGGGACCCGTCAATCTAAAAAATTTCAACAATTCTACTATTTTCTAATCCATGTTTTACCTTCAACTTGACAAGACCTAAGGGACTTCAAATTAAAGAAAGTTGTGTATATACCTTTCCCGTCCCAAAATCCCTTTGAACCACAGCCTTGCTTTGGCCATTTTTTGGCTCAATCGAGGTAGGCTCAGTTCCCTTCTCTTGACTCTATGTTTAAACAGATTTGTTAATGAAAAGGTTCAGATAAAATTGGCTCAGAAGATTAAAACAAATGCATACGCACACGCAAGCGCGCAAATCAAAATGAAATATTGTTTACCTCAACTACGTCTTGGGGAAATCTTGGTTGGCATTTGAGGTTGGTTCCCATTGCATCAAGGCATGATTGCTAGACTCGGAAGCAACAGTCTCATTGGTAGTGGCCGAAATAACAATCCCCGTGGTTACAGTTGGCTGTGAATCTTGAGCCTAGTTAAGTGAAATATTATCAGAAGTTAAGAAATGAAGATCTACATGGATGGAACAAGGTTTTCAAATACATGATCAGCCTATTGATTCTCAAGTCCTTGGTTCGAAACGATGACAGTAGTAGGATAGGGAAGTTGAGTCGCAAAAGGAAGGTCAACCAAAAAAATTTGTTTTACGGTTTACCTGATCAACTACATTGGCAATGGTATCTGGGTTCAGATGAATTGGCCCTCTGGCTAAAGATGCTGCGCCACTAGGGTCTGTAATAGAAAATGCAGCCAATCTGTGGTTGCATCGTCCTCTTGTGCCTGAATAATGGATGGAGAATCTTGATCTAAAACTGAAAGTCATACCCAAACTATTGAAGAAGGCATATTTAAAAAATAAATACAAATTACAAATTTTAAAGAAACATATACATATAAACTTTAGCAGACGGTTCAGATATTGAGGTCATAGATAAATGAAACCTAAGGGTCATCGAATTAAAGAACGTTGTCTACATACCTTTTCCGTCCCAACATCGCTTTGAACCATAATCTTGCCTTTGCCATTTTCCGTCTCAAATGAGGTAGGCTCAGTTTCCTTCTCTTGACTCTACGTTCAAACAAATTTGTTCGCGAAAAGGTTCAAATAAAGCAGGCTCAGAAGATTAAAAAAAAAAAAAAAAAACACACTCACACACGCACACGTAAAAATCAAAGATGGAATAGTGTTTACCTCAACGTCTTGGACGAAATCTTGGTTGACGTTTGAGGTTGGTCTTGTTTGCACCAAGGCTGGATCACTAGACTCAGGAGCTTCAGTCTTGTTGGTTGCGGCAGAAATATCAACCCCAATGGTTGGCATTTGAGGTTGGTCTTGATTGCACCAAGGCTGGATTGCTAGACTCGGGAGCAGCAGTCTTGTTGCGGCAGCAATATCAACCCCAATGGTTGCAGTTGGTTGTGGAACTGGTGGCTGCGCCTTTTGAGCCAGCAAAACAAAATATTGTTAGTTTAGAAATGAAGGAAGACATATTGGAACAAAATTTTCAAGCATCTGATCAGCTTGTTGATTATTAAGTCCTTGGCTGGAAACGATGAAAGTAGTAAGGGAAGAAATTTGAGTCACATTCTGAAAGGAGAAACAAGGAATTTTAGTTTTGGAACATGAAATAAAAGGAAGGTCAACCAAAGAAATCTGTTTTACCTGATCAGCTACTTTGGCAATGGTATATGGGTTTAGATGAATTGGCCCTATGGCTGAAGTTGCAGCCACAGTTGGGTCTGCAATATGAAATGCAGCCAATCTGGTGGTTTCATCATCCTGTTGTGTGTAAATAATGGATTGAGAATCTTGAATATTAAACTGAAAGTCATAACCCAAACTATCAAAGGAGGCATGTATTAAAAAAAAATTTAGATAATTAGGCGGATCCTATTGTTCACAGATTAAAAAGGATTTAAAAAACCAATATGCGTTAAATTCGAAAGAAAATTGAGATTTTTCCCTTCAAACTCATTTTTCTTTACTTGCAGCCTCTCCTAATCTCTTCTAGTGATTTTCGATGCATCAAACATGACTATTTCATTTGGGTTTGGTACCAGTCAGAGAAGTGCAGAAGAAGACTTGTAGATTCTACCTGGCTCAATGCAGTTGCATCATTCATCGCACCATCAGTAATGGCTCTATCAATTGTCACGGCCACATCAGATGCGGCTGGGTTGTTCCCTGCAATCACTTCCCCCTGTTGGATAGCAAAATTGAACTGTTGGACCTGAAGCAAATTTGAGTTATTACTAAAAAAAGTTTGATAAAATAACAAAAATAATAATACAAATTCCAACCTGAGTATGTGCAGTCCCAACAGCTAGAGTCGCCTCTTCACTATCATTTGAGGGGCCCACACTATTGCTCTAGAAACATAAGAGATCTTAGACAAGGTACCAAAAATGAAAATAAATTTATGTTTTATTTTTTTGATACAAATGATATTCTTCTTTAAATTAACCTAAAATGCAGGCAAGGTAGATTAGATGCGTAGGGGGTTATATCCATTCTAGCCGCGAGTTACTTTGTGTGGCTGAGTCTACCTTCTGGCCACAAGTGACTTTGGGTCGCTTCCGGACTTGGTTTATATCGTTTCCATCTTCCTCTTCATCTTTCTCTTTGTCTACTTCTTCCATGGTTGCATTGTGTGTGGCCTAGGGACTTTCCTTCTTCTGAGGCAGTGGAGTCTAGAAATAAATCATCACCCTCAGCTAAGAAACTATTTAGAGTCTCCCTCTATGAAATAAGTGTATGAATGAGAAAAAAATCAATGCAGTTTTTGTAATGTTGCAACTTGAGAATTTACCGCGTTGCCTTTTTCCAAGAGGACTTGGCTCTACCGCAACACTTGAGCTGGCTCTTGAAAAGGTCCAGGCTGCATCAGAATAAGAATGGATTAAACTTTGTGAGCATAGGAAAAAAATACAAAACAAAAGGGAAAAAAAAACTCAAGAAGGCGATCTGTGATGGTGGCTGGGTGAATCCGTATAGCTACACGAGTTGTAGTAAACATAATTCTTATCTCAAGTCATCTAGGGGTCATGGAGCGGTGAAAACCCTTAAAAGAAACAGCTTCTTCAGCTTCATGCAAATATGAAACAGCTTCTTCAGTCTTTTTTTGTTGACCAATTCAACAAATAGTAGCTATTTCATGAACTCATGTATTGACAAAGACAGTATAGATTTAAAAGATACACTGGAACAAGGTGCTTGATTAAGACAAAGGATCGCACTGCACGTACAAGAGAGTCCAGCAGTGAAATGGTTATCAAATGATGCTTCCCAGGGTACCCAAAATTCGTCAGCGAAGGAATGTTCTGCATGTTATAGAATGTCAAGTTAAATAATGAAAAATTCCAGAGAAATAGGTAAGGCAAAGCTGGCAAATGAGTAACAAAGGGAAACAACCAACAAGTTTTGTTTAACAAATCACCAAAATCTTGAAAAATTTTGGAAAAACATATGACAAACTATGGAAAAAGATTTATCAATGTACGACAAGTACCTGTTTCGTCATCTCCAAAGTATGATGAATTTGCACTATACAAACTTGCCGTGTCTACAAACCTGGGCAAACCAAAATAGTCCATCTCCAAATCAAACAATCCGGGTTCATCAATTCCTTCAGTTTCATGCAAATATCAAACAACTTCTTCAGTCTTTTGTTATTGAAAAATCAACAAATAGTAGCTATTTAATGACTCATGTATTGACAAAGACAATATAGATTTAAAAGATACAATGAAACAAGTTACTTGAATAAGACAAAGGATCGAATTGCATGTACCAGAGAATCCAGTAGTGACAGTGTTATTAAAGAAGCTTTCCCAACGACAATCATCACATGCTGCACATTATAGAAAGTCAAGTTAAATAATGATAAACTCCAGAGAAATATGGAAGGCAAATCTGACAAATGAATAACAAACATATGACAATGTACAACAACCACCTGATTGAGCTCTTCAAAGTCTGATGTATATACATCACTCAAACTTTCCGTGTTTACAGCTTGGGAAAGCATTTGAAAATTTGTTGGAACAAAACATGAAGAAACAGCTTCTTTAAATGAATTCATGTGTTGACAAAGACGATATGGATTTTTGAAAGGTAACGAGTATTACTTGTATGTATCAAGGGACAGGATCTATCAAGATATCTAGCATTGATCTCAAGAAGAGGGTATGCTGCAACATTTATTGAGTTAAGTGAAGACAACAATAATAGAAGAAATATATAGAAGATAAACACGGAGAACAAATAATACAAAAAAAAAAAAAAAATCACCGAAATATTTGTAAAAGAAATGGAACTCGTGACAAATATCGGAGAGACTTTGACAAGGTAAAACAAACACCTGATTCAGTGTTTTCAGACTCTGATGTTGGGGCACTATTCAAGTTTGTCCCATCTGTAGCTAGTGAATGCTGGAACTTACTTGGATTGAAACTAGAAGAAGCAAAACTGTCCATCTTAGAATTGGGTGTAATTTCGTCAGTTTTGCGGGAATGTTGAACACCTTCTGCACTCTCAGTCTCTTCAATGTATCTAGCCTTTCTTTTCTCTCCCTGATCATGTTATATATCAAAATAAACATGAATAGGTAGGACATGGATATGACGGACAAATTATAAGGTCATAAGAGCCTAGATCTCATCTAAAGTCATATCTAGATTGTTGTATAACTGATCCAATGAAGTAGTTTTCTTTTATTTTGAGACCGAATCTCACATCAGGGAAAGAATGGAACTTGCACGTGCTTATAAGGAGTTTAGTTACTCTCCATATTGCCAATTGGTTTTATGGTGGAACCACAACGTCCTTCACTTTAGAAGTCTGTATTTGATTGTAAGAGACACTAGTCATTATTTTATAATAAAGATGAGAACCAAGGAGTTCAAGTCTATATCTAAAACCCTTTTGCGTTTACTTACAAGAGTTTGATCTCTTCATACTTCAAAATCCAAACAGTGATTTGAAAATGAAAATTACTGAAAGAAAGGGTGTGTAAGAATCTCAAGGACTAACTGCACAAATGAATGAAATGCTACTGAAAATATAAATGACAGTGTAAGGCATAACCTTTACGTCCCGATAGTGGACAAGAACCATATGTGAGAGATTCCTGCAGCAGTGACATATTAGGGTTTAGGGTTTGTGATTAATCAAATTGTAAGCATGTAAGACTAAATGTTTACTGCATTAAAGCGAGTTGACAGAGAAGAGAGATTACTGCATTGAGGCCGAAAAAGAGAATAAATTCTTTTAGAAGCTCACTCTTCAAGCATCCAGTAAATGCGTCGTTGAAAATTTCCATCTTCTTCTCCATGAGCATAGTAGCAGTGCAATGTATCTAGACCTTCAACCTGACAGATATGGACAATAATTGTTCAATAAGTTTAACTGGGAAATAAGGAATTTTCAACATCGTTATTTTCTTCCCACAAATGCAACACATCAAAATTACATCATGCCACATTGCTCCACATCAACTTTATACCAAAGTTCTTCCAACTTTACTACATCAAATTATAGATGGCGATATTCAACATGCCAATTTGTTCCATAAATAAATCAACAGCTACAAGATTAACTGATTAAGTTACATAAATATAGTTTTATGGTTAAGTGTCATGCTTAATACATCATATTTCTTATAACGTCAACCTTGGCGTATACTTACCTTGAGCTTCTCATGGGATTCCTTAGTCCTTCCAACTTTTGCTTTCTTCCATTTGTAGCCATCATTTCTAAAATGTTTCTCCACCTTCTTATCAAAAAGAAAAATGGATCCACCTAACACAAATGAAGTGTGTCAAGCAAAAAAAGGTTTCATATGTTTCCAAATAAAGCAATGCAATGTTCACAGGCATCCCAAAATAATTAAAAATATTAAACGTCTTAACGTCCAATGCAAATGTCGATTCTTATATTCTTGAAGGCCAATGCCACTATATCCCAATTTATTTCTTAGAAATAAAAAAGGAAACTGTTATTGGCACTCCAAAAATCTTATTTGTGAGGAGTGCACAATGAGATTTTGGAGCCCCAATAACAATTCTCATAAAAAATTGCCAGATTAATTTTATCGAGAAAAGAAAAACCCACAAATCTCATGTGAGAAGGCAATCCAAAAAAAAATAATTAAGCAACTCGACCAATACTTTACACAAACACCGGTTGACATAAACTTTCCTCTTATCCAAATGATCAACAGTTCAAAACTCATCAAGGGAATTTTCAATACACATCCAAATGAATCTTCAAAGAATAACGCAAAAAGCAAAATCAAATTCCTAAAATGCTAAAGAAAATTCGAGTTAAATCAGCCAATGCAATATTTCTTAGCAAATGCAATGCAGCAGAAAGTCATACTCGGTGGCTTAACTTCAGGCTTCTCAGAAATTGCAACTCCGTTATGACTTCAAAGAACTTCACATATTTCATCTGAACGTAGCCATCAAAGTTTCCCTTCACAAAGTATTCTTTGAATTCTACTTTCTGCATTCAATCATATCAAAATCAATAAATAATAAAATATCTATGTTGAAAATTTGATATATTTCAAGTATATAATTACAATTTTCAAGAAAACACAAGAACCACAGATGAACTTGGATCAAAGTATTTTTACGATGACAAGTAAATTTTAATCAGACTCGCTATAGACTTGCTGACACGTGCATACCCATACATCACGGTTTGATAATTATTTTATTTTTATTTATTCTTTCGTTTTTTATCTGGTATTCTTGTTCTTGAATAAAAGAAGAATGAAAGGGTGATTTAAGAAATGTACATAGAATAACACAAAATGAAAACTAAAAACAATTTTAAGTTTTTGTTTTCATATATACTCTTTCGTTTCTCCCTACTCCCTCCAACCACCAAAAAGTCGACATTTTTATCCAACATATCAAACTTACCAAATTGATCAGCAATATATATATATCTATCAAACTTACCCCAATTGCTCTCCGCCATGGACTCGGTAGTGGGTTTCAATTAAATTCCCTGTGATTGCAATTTGCACAAGCAGCTGCAGCTCTACAATTCACTCACTCGTGGCCTGCAACATATATATTCAGCAACTATACATACATATATAGAAACCTAGTCCCGAGTAAAAGGCAGAGTTTGGAACACGAAAGTTCATTCATGCACAGAACGCGTTTAAAATTGAAAATGCCGAGTAGCCCACTCCGACTTTTCTGTTCACACTTCTCATACAAAATAATTGAAGGTCAAAACCGAAATCGGACCTGTTCACTGAAGGTAAAAACCTAAACCAAACCGGTTTCTTAAGGTAAAAGCCGAAATCGAAGGTAAAAACCGAAACCGAACCGGTTTTCTCAAGTAAAAACCGAAATCGAGCGTGTCCATTGGAGGTAAAAAAAACGAAACCAAAGCAATTTAAGGGATGGAATTGAGACAGATAAAGGGTAAATACCGAAAATAAATCCGAAATGAGATCCAATTTTTACAGAAAAAGAACTCTTCTTCTCCAAAACCTCATGCCAGATGCCAAACACTTCCGCCACGAAAACCCTACTGCGGCCTCCCCAGTCTCTCTCTCTATTTGAATCTTCATGGTGGTGGACCGGTAAGATCAGTGCAGGAAGACCCCGCCAAAAGAGAGAAGAGAGAGAGGATGAGGACGGGAGAGAGAAAATGAAAGGAGGGTCGGTGTTGGCGGCGCCTCCGCCGTGGTAGACCCCGCAGAGGGAGGCTGCCCGGCGTGGAGTTCTGGGTCAGTGTTTGGGGTTGTTGCTGCTGCAGCATCGTCGTCTATGGGACTAGGCGGCGTTCTGGATCGTTTCGTCGTCTGCGTACCCAGCGTCCCGTTTTAATTAAACTTTCAGTACTGCGCTCACTTACTTTCGAAAATAACGTGTTTTACCCGCAGTCCTCTCTAGCTCTCTCTTCCGCATACGACGGAATCCGACGACTTTCCGGCGTCAAACGAAGTCGTCCGTGTGATCTGGGTTTTGGAGGCCGGACCTCAACGGGTCGATTAGAGAGAGAGACATTGAGAAAATGCAAGGGTGAAAACCGAAACCTGAACCGATTCTTTTCGGGGTAAAACCGAAAAAAATGCGTACAAGAGGAGGACTGAGACAGATTGAGGGTAAAAACCGATAAATGAAACCGAATACACGTCGGTTCTTATAAGGTAAAACACCGAAATCGGTACGGAATTATTTTAAGATGAAAACCGAAACCCAACCGGTTCAAAAAAGGGGCTGTGACATATGAAAGGCTAAAACCGAATCATGAAAAATGAGGGGTTTTAAATTTAAATATTATAAATATCAAATTTGGTATCAAATTATACTATTTATTATGTAATTTAGTCGAACTTGAGAATTCTCTGAATTTACTTTGTACGAATCTTAGAGATTTTCACATTCTAATTGTTCATTATATATCGTCAATTTTTGTCAAGGTACCATTTATGTTTAATTTTAAATAAAAAAGTTAAACTATTTGTGTTTAATTTTAAATAAAAAAAGTTAAATAATCTCTTATTGCACGATACACGATAAACAGTTAAGATCTAAAGATCTTTAAAATCTTTACCATTTGAATCTTGATAAGATCCAAATCTTCTTTTCTAATGTAAAAATATCAATGGAGTAAAGAAAAAATTATTCGTACAAAACTTTACAGAATTTGATTATAAAATATTCTTTGAGTAATTTTAAGAATTTAAAAAAATTTTGATTATAAAATATTTACGATAAAAATAAGTTATTTACAATTAAAATGAGCAAATAATATATAGGAAGTGCATCTCTCCGCCGCTCCACAATACGCTCTGCAATTGCTCCTCGCCGCCGTGACTGTCACTTTCTCGTTCCTTGACCTTCTCTCCCCTTCTCCTCCTCCTTCAACTTCGTTGCTTGGCACTTCGAAGACCACAGCTTACTGTTTCCATTCCGCTGTTTGGTTGCCGAGAAAAAGGTACGCAAAGGAAGAGAGAAGCAATTAGTTCTCTTTAATTTTTTTAGAGTTGTTATTTTCCTTTTTACTTCCCCAAATTTTCTCAGCTGCCAAACGGAGAGCTGGTTTAGTTTACTGCTCCTGGAGTTCTTGTTCTTAATAGCTGGCTAAGGCCTGAAACCGGCGCCGCATTGCCATTTGATACCATCTGATATGATCAGCAGAGCCTTTAATTTCGTCAATTAAATTGTATTCCATACAATAAACAAAGTAATTAGTTTGCGCAGAAACTTAATAGGATCGTTTTATTGTGTGTAAGCTGTAGGTATAAATGGCACGCTCCAAGGCTCCGGCAAAGAAGCAGCAAAAGCGCGGCATCGACTTCAAAGTAATCGATATTTCGGGTTTTGAATGCATTTTGCTTTGGGAAGTTCAACATCCGAAAACTTCATTTGCATTTTATGTTTATTTTCTTTTGTAATTTTTGCAGAAAATAAGGCGAAAGATTGGCAGAAAGTTGCCACCACCAAAGAACGCTACGAATACTGAAATTAAGTCCAAAGGTTTTGACTTTAATCTGTTCTTAAATTCATGAGTTGATATTACTTTTTGTACTCTCTGTGTCGTTTTTCGTTAATTCATTGAAAGGAAAATTCTGTCATCAAAATAAGTTCGTTTTGGGGTGACGAGAGTAATTAAGGATGAGAGTTTGTATTCTGTTGATTGTTTGAAATACTTTTTCTTGCCATGATGATGGAGTTGCCTATGTGCTTCCATTTTGATGTCAAATATCGTAGTGAACTAGTTTCTTAATGAGTACTAAATAATGGTTGCTATGAGCAGCAATTGTTCTTCCCGAGCAGAGTGTGGCATCAGAGAAGGCAGGATTAGCAGTGAACAAGAAAGGTTTAACATTGAAGGAACTTCTTCAGCAAACATCTCATTACAACCCGAAAGTTCGTAAAGGTATGTTAATGTTATTTTAAAATATTTTCTTAATGAAAACGCTTATAGCCTTACAGTATCTTCCAAAATATGAGAATTAATCTATTTTTAACCTGAAATAGATTACCTAGATCGTTGATCATGTATTTCTGCACATTGATTTGGGTTTTAGTGTGTTAAATTTGAAGAGGTTACGACCTTTTCAATAATTATGTTGTCTAGGAAGTTGTTTCCCATTATTAATATTTTGTACCGTATAGTATATATCTAATAATCTTACTGTTATTTCTCTTTGAAGATGCATTACTGGGTATGAAGGATTTACTCCTTAGGTATCCAGAAGAGTTGAGGTTGCACAAGTATGCTGTTGTTGAAAAGCTGCGTGAACGCATTGGTGATGACAATAGACTGGTTCGAGATACGCTATATCAACTTTTTAAGTCAGTAATTTTACCTGGCTGTAAGGAGGTAATTTTTTATTCTTGTCTGAATGCAGCGAGGTAAAAATCTGTTGTGAATTAAATGTATTAATGCGAAACAAGGATGATTATATTTGATTATTTGCAGTTCAAGAAAGTTTTGGGTTGTTCATTACACTATTTTCCTCTTAATTTTTTCATGAGACATGTGTCTTATATGCCAAATTTTATTCAATTGTTGCCATGCATTGCACTAAATTAAACGGCCACACCATACTTCTGGATGTGCAAAGCCATTCCTAGCTGGGGGGAAATGGAATTTATTCTCTTTCATAGAAATTGACATAAATTATCTTTGAAGGGCTTATTCTTTTTCCTTCCTAGTTTTTACTTTTTCTTAATGTTATGCATCTTCCTTACAATAGAACAATTTGGTAGTTTCACACTGCTTTTATTGCATTTATGGATTCATCTAAGTGTAACATTGTTTTGAGATTTTGTTGTCATCATCTCTCTATTATTATCATTAAGTTCGGTGGTGTTTATAGCCAATGAATTTAATGTGACATTTTTTTCCCTTCTTTTCTTGTCCAGGATAATCAAGAGCTGTTGATTTCCTTGATGATGGCCTATATATTTAATGCAATGACGCATTTAGCAATCGATGTTCGGTTGATGGCTTTCAAATTTTTGGAGCTTGCTATCCAATACCATCCACCTTCCTTCTTCTTGAATGCTGAAAAGGTATCCTAAGATTGTGCTGTAAAATGATGTGTGCAGTGTTTTCGTTGGAATCATTATTGGATATGTTATTCTGATGTACAACTGTAGAATTTCTAATTTATGCTTTGGTCATTGACTATGAACTGTTATATGGTTTGTTCTTCTTCTATGCATTATTCTAATGGAATGGACTTTAGGCATATTCTTGTAGTTATGTACCTGTCGCAAAGATTGGATGTTACATAATCATCTTTTGAGACCCCACACTGTCTCTTAGTTACATTATAATGGTATTTTATGGCTAGAGTTTGCAACTTTGTCGTCTAGTGTTACGGATTGAGGCCTTATTCAACAACATTCTTTTTCTCCAAGATTCTGCTGTTTCTGTAATTCTTGGTCTCTTCTCTTCATGTTTTCTTTGCTCTCATTCTGCTCAATAACAGGAAAGTTCTTATAGATGTTGAGCTTTATGTTACTTGTCTTCTTCTTTCTTTCTTTCTTATTCCCACTAGACATGTTATTCCTGTATGCAGATATTCTTGATCGAATCTTTATCCTTGGTGGGTGTGTGAGCTTGTTTGTTTGGTTGCCTTTATATTTTCCACTGCTTTATTTCCTATCAATTGTTTATGGTTTAGTCTGTCTGTGTGGCTAATGAATCTAAATATTAGATGAACTCGAATTTTTCACTGTTACCGCTCTCTTTTTGTGTTTAAAGATAACTTTTAAGGTTGTTTTAACGATTGCTTCATTGGCAGATTCTTCAAAGCTTTGAGGATATTCTGCAGAGGAACCAGTTTTTTTTAGAGGACAAGGGCAAGCTCAAGACTGCTCTTGCCGGCCTGGAACTATGCTTGTCGCTTTTGCCATGTAACAAGAGAGAAGTTGGCTCGTGTGAAAAGGTATTTTTAAGTTTTCTGAAAATCCAGAGGGTTTGCACGTTTTCTTTCATTGTTTGTATTGTGCAGCATGAGCCTGCTTGTTTTCTTGTACCTTCCAGCTGTATTCTTTCATTGCACATTATGGTTGAAACTTTGCTGTTAAATTTTGTTATTGTTGTTATTATAATCAGCATTTTCCTCTACTTAGATGAGGGGTGCAAAGCATGTGTCAGTCAGAAAGCCATGAAAAGTAGCCTTGACTACACATGTGAAAGTTTTGAAAATAAATTTGTTTTATTCATACTCGGAGATCTGACTTCTGAAGCTGGACGGACAATTTTTAAATGGGAGAATATTTTTTTTTCTTGGGTTATGGTGGTGATCAGAGGGCAAATGAAAATAAAAAAAAAACTATCTGGGCATATAACTGCATCAGGAAGAAACTGTTCTGAGTTACTGCTTTTAGTCTCTTGCATTATTTATGAAATAGTTTTGTAATATCTTTCCTTTTACTTAATAGAATGGTGCTGGACAAGGGATACTGCATGCTTTTGAGCCTGATGTACTTGCAAAATCTGCTGGTATGTGATACATTGGTGCATGTGTTTATACGTCATTATCGATTATGTTCTACTGATGGCACCATGTGTCTAGTTATGGCTCATATCACGACATAGATCAATATGAGTTTGATAGTTGAAGTTCCTGAACATTGGAATGATAATACTTATTTTGGTAATGTAAGTTTATTAGTATGTACTTCTTAGTTTCAAATGCCTTGCAGTTGGCAGCAGTTCTCACAGCAGGAGAAATCAAAATTCACTCTGATGATATCAGCTTGTTACTTAGATTGTATTAATAAGTTGCTGTTTAGTGGGACAAGCATTCCGCAGTTCAAGAACTTCCAATTATTTAATACCTTTTTTCGTTTTCATATTGACCTATCATCATCTTGCTTTCTTTTGTAGGATGTTCAATCATCATCCCGAAACTAAAAGACCTTGTCCCAGTTCTAGTAAATTGTTTCCAAGATTTTATTCCAGAAGTTCAGACTGGCTCTCTTCTTAATACACAATCATTTGATTGTATGCTGTCCATACTTAACAGCATAAACCTTGCTGTCAAATTCTTCTTTTATATGACTGATGAGGGTAAACTAGAATCACAACCTTCTCAAGGGGGGCATGGTGTGACTATGTGTGATACTATCTCTGTGACACTAGTGAAGACGTTTTTGCAAGTTTTGTTTCCCCTGAACATGAGAAATCAACTTTCAGAAAAGGTATAAGTTATAACCTTAATATAACTTTTAAACTCATCATTGTTTCTGCAAAATGACTTCTTTAAGGGTCTCTTGATTGGTGTCACTTTATTTTGCATCCTTTCTATGGTCCTTCTGTTTTAATACTCTAGTAAGCATGGAAGCCTATAGCATTGCTTGAATATTTTATTTTTGTATTTTTGTGTCAAAATTTCCATCATTTGTAATTTTTCTCATTATCGATGTATTTGTCAATATTTTCATTGATATATTCCATTTTTTTGGACTCTTTTTATTTCATTGATAATGATATATTATACTTTGAATAAAATTGGTATAAAGTTATAGTACGAATGCAATGAATAATGTGTCTTTGACGTTCACATTTTATTTTTTTGTTCATCTTAGATATTTCTTGCATTTCTCTCAATTTCTGTTCTGTTATTTCTTGTATGTCTTGCAATTTCGATTCAGTATTTGGGAGTTTTCATTTCTATCTAATGGTATCTGAACATGTTGACATTTTCATAGAAGGTCATGTTTCCATAAGTCTGTCTTGTTCTATGGATTATATCAGGCCAACCCCTTGGCAGCTCTTACATTCTTGAAACCCGAGTGTATAGTAAGAATTCTATACTAGAGTTTTTTCTTGGGGGGAAATTTCAAACTTTAGGATCTGGGCAGGTGCTATATGGGCACCAAATATCTTAGAAAGGGATGTCTACTATGTGAGGCACATTCTTAGCTGTAGATGTGTGTGTGTGTGTGTGTGTGTGTGTGTAGTAACTCATTTCACATTTTATGAGGGTCTTTTGTTGCCAGTATTACAAGTTCTCTTTTTGAATTGAATCGGTTCTTTTCTATATCTGTTTGACAGGATGATGTTAAATATTTTGTCTTGAACACTCTGATGACAGAAATATTTTTGCACTTAAGCAAATGGATCTGCCCTCCTCCTGTTTTATTTGAGAAAATTTTAGAATTTCTGGAAGATTCTCTGCTTGGAAAGGTTGGTTCGTCTACCATAATGTTTTAGTATGAAGTTGCATTCATGCTGTTCAAATTTCTGCATCATGTGCTTTGTATTTCTTAAGAGTACTGATCTAGGTGTGATAAGCAGTTATAAGTATAATTGCATTGTAATTTGATTGTTTCTATTCAATGAATTGAAATATAAAGTAATCTCATATATTGACAAAAAAAAAATGATTTGCATTCTGCTAATGTGTATTAATAGTGTCGATGATGGCCTTCAGGGCTCATTGCACATCTTCCCCTTAAGCACAAAGGTGGGGGTTAATTTGGGATGCAAATACTGGTTTGGTGCCTGTTGTAATTTACCTTGAAAAAAAAATATTAAAATAATGTCTTCCATATAATAATGTAAATGATGGATTGTTGTTCCACAGCTTCACGTTTTGAAGGTAAAAAGAAGTTTATGATCTACATTTTGCCATGATAGTTTGGGGCTCAAATACTGGTGGGTGCTTGATGTAGTTTTCCTAGAAATTAAGACATATATTATTTCAATAGAATAATGTAACTGATAGGTTGTTACTTGCAGCATCAAATTTTGAAGAAAATATTTATGCTCTAGAACTTGCCAGGGTGGTTATTTTTTAAAGAAAATTTCATTCAATTTTGGTTACTGTATTTAATAGTTTTGTACTGTATGTTTTAGGTTACATTTCTAATACTTTCTGTAAAGCTTCTTTTAAAATGTTGGAAACTTGTTACTTTACAGGTATGCAATGACACGCTTTCTGGTAAGGCAGTCTGGGAGAAGCATTTAATTTCACTTCTTCCTTTTGTTCCAAAGCTTGTTTATCGAGTGGCAGATGACTGGAAGTCTCGCCTTCTTCAGGTATGAGCTGTGCTTAAAACTATTTTACATTCCAAGATTTTATCATCGGCAGAGTTATGTCAGCTGAATTCCTTTTTCCTTATAAGATTGTCTTGACTCTTTTCTTTAAGTACTTCAATGGTTGTGTAACTCTAGATTTGGTTCTAAAACAATTAGAGGTTCCCAATTTACACAGACCATTGTAGTGGGGTATTAAATGATTTATGTCTTTTAACTTCTGAAAATGGTGTTACCTATATATCATTAAATGCAGGCTTTTAGTGAGGCATTCAAGGACTGCAATCCTGTATCCCCTTTAAAATTGGCTTGTCTTTCCATACTGGAGGAGCTGCTAGTTCCTGTAAGCTTGATTCTATACCTCCTGCTTGCAATATCTCCAAGTTTTTTCTTTCCTTATAGTATAGCCGTGGTAGTAAGAAATCAGACTCATCTCTTTCTCTCTCTCAAATTGAATTTTGATAACTTTTCTACATATCATAGAGACAAGATATGCTGTACCTGGATCCGAGTATTTCCGAGATATTAGACTTTCAGATTACCTGGATAAGAGAGCTTCCTGTGTTGCTTATCCTGCTGGGTGATAAAAACCCATACTATTCCCAGGTAACATTTTTTTAACCTCGTAAGACAGACAGTAGTATTGACACAGAAGAATCTAGACAGTAGGTTTTGCATCTTGCATCTCTGAGTGAGGACCTTATTCAATATTATTGTCATTATTTATCATCTTTGTTTTTCTGCATAGTCAGTCTTTATCATCACCTATGATTTTTCACCCCATTATTTCTGGTTTATATTGCATGTTTCTTCAGGTTGTGCTGCACCTTCTACTTCGCCTGGGACAACGTGCTTTAGTGAACTCATCCTTTGCATGGGAATATGACAACATGCAATTGTCACTGCAAGAATTTTTTGGCATAAGTAAAGATGATGGTAAGAGCCCATTCAGTTGACACTAGTATTCTTTTTTGTGGATTAATCATCCGTCAGCAGACAACTTGGTTTCTTATGATTCTGCCTCTTGTTCTTGCAGGAAATGTATTATATGGTCCCTTTGTAAGGCTTCCCAGAGATTCTCAAGAACTCTCTCTTTCCTGCCTCTGCTATATCTCTAATTTGGGTCCACTTTTGCTGAAGTCAATAGCTTACTGTTGCCTATGTAAGTTATTCATATCTGCCTCGGTTAGATTCTGTATGGATTTGACAGCTTAGGTTTGGCATGCTGTACGAAGTTCTCTATAGATATTATTTTGACTTTTTTAATGTCTCATGCATGCCATTAATATGCAAGCTATTCTTGTTTCTGTTATAACAATTATAAGGGAACCTTTGGATTCCAAAAGTATTCCAGGTTAAAGTCACATGGGTACCAGATATGTTCCTTTCTGCACAGTAGTTTTGTTGGTAGAGTTATCTTTTACTACAAGAATCAGGAAAAAAAATCCTATCTGCATCAGTTTCTTCATTAGAAAGAGTATGTCATTTTAAAATCTGATGTAGAAACCATTTTGTTGCATCATTTTGTGGCTGAATGATAGTAATTTTCCTTCAACTGGAACATAGATGCTTGCCATTCATGTCTTAATGTAACTGTCATTTGTTAAGGGATTAAATCCAAACATATAGGGGGTTAGACATGCCATTAAACATCAAAGGGTGATTCTGATTGATGTTATATGGTAACAATATGAAGTAATGATGAATGTTCTCTCTTCTGCTTTCCAGTGATTTGTGAACATTGTTGAAGTATGACGAGTTATTTGCAAATTGGGATTGTTTAAGTGACATTTCTATCTATTTCCCGTTCATTGCAGGTCCTGATCTGGAACAATATGTATTATTTCGAATCATAGAGGTCCTGAATTCAGCTTATAAATCTGGGCATATTCAGATTGTTGATCACATTAGTTTCTTGATCACTTTGCTCTCCCATTTCAGAGTTTTCCCAGGTATGTCTGACAGAATTTCTTCTCCTCTTCATGGTTTGTATTAGTATGTGTAATTTCTATTTGTACCAGTTGACATCTTATGATGACTTTAAAATTTCTAATTTTCTACTAATATGATGACTTTCAAATGATTTATCGTTTTTCATGCTTTATCGTAATAAGGTAACTAAATTGCAAGTGTAAGACTTTGTCAACTTACGTTTTAAAGGCTGCTTCAGAACAAAAATCATCTTGCTCTACTTAAAAGCATATTATCTTGCTCCGAGATTTTGGGATAGAAAGTTCCTGCTCTGGACTATTTATAGCTATTTATTCTTTTTGCTGCCAAAGGATCTGATGCCTTCATATTAGTATTACTAGAGAACCAATTTATTACTTAAATGCATAATTTTTATTGCAATTTGTTGGGTTCCAAACCTAAAATTGCTTCATCATGGCAGAAAATATTGTTCCTGATAGAGAGAATGATGTGAATATCTCAAATCGAGGGACTTTTAAGTCACTCAGCCGAATCGTCTGCTCATGCCTGTCACAGATGGGTGATAATACTCTTGTTTTGCAGATGCTAGAGAAAATTATACTCGATCAGATGGTGAGTTGACTAGATAACTTCATCTTATTGTGTTCTTCTAGTTTACTTTACATCAATATCTTCTTAACTTCTTATTATTTTATAACTTCATCTTCTTAACTTTGTCAACTTACTGTGTGTTCCTGTGCTTTATTTCTGAAAGTTACAGTTTACCTATGTTTCCTGATTTTGATTTTTCTACATATTTCAGTCTCAAAATCCCCCTCTAGACAACGTTTGTGCTATGCTTAGGACGCTTATTACACTGGACTCTAAAACAACGATAATTTCCCAAGGAGCTTTTATAAGCCTAGGCAATATCCTTCCACGGTATCTGATTGACGTTGTACAGGTAACTTTCATTTCTTGTTTGGAGAGCATCTGCCTTAACCCCCCAAACACCATTTTTTACTTTCTTGTGTCTTCTAACTTAGTTTGGAATATGTTCCACTGAGAGGATTCCAGTGTTTTTGGTTTCTGAAATTCAATATTAATTGAATCTGTTATTCTCTGCTGCTCATATGTAAATTTGTCTTTCCCATGAAAATAAGTTTTTTCACGGGATGCTCAGGTTTGATATCGGTTATTGATGTAGGGCAAGATAGGGGTCAATTAAAGTGGAGAAAATCAAAGAAACAAGAGTGCTACAAAATAAGAAAGAATAATGCTCATGCATTCAAGAATAATATCTGGAAGTAGGAAAAAGAACGAGTCAGTGTTGCATATTTGTTAGTGGCTTGATTACATTTCATAGAAAAGAGGCTTGAGTTTTAAGATTTTTAGTAAAGTTTTAGTTTTGGATAACTTTATTCCTTGTCTCACAAGGATTTGGTTTTTTTTTTTTTTTTCACTAGTTAATCAGGATTTCTTTATGTTTCCTTTATTAATTAGATTTTTAGTATTAATGAAGATGCAAGGCAGCATTAGTATCATGCAAATAGTTGTCCAGGGTGGGATAATTGGGTTAGGATTAGGCTGGCCTCAGTACACTGTCTGCAAATGTAACCAAAATGAGGATAATAAATCAGGGTTAGGCTGGCCTTGGTACGTTTAATATCTTTCTAACAATGAGAAAGAGTAATTCATGCACATATAATAATTGACTTATTATCCTTGGCAAAGAGAAAAGACATCCACAAAGACATTTTGCTTTACAGGCTCATCTTAAATTGTTGTGTTTTCCAATAGGAACCTCTATGAAGTATAAATGTATCTTTGTGTGGTAAGTTGCTAGTTACCGTGTCATACTTCCATAGTTGCACGTTGTAACACAAGAATCGATGGATTGGAATCTTTAAATATCATGTCCTTTAATAAAAAGCCAACAAAATATAATTTTGTTTGCAATCTCATGCTACTGCTGGTCTGGAGGATGGGGTTTTGGAAGGGATGTCTATATATGTCTTTTTAATAATTATCAATATAGGGAACATTTCGCAGATGTCTTGCACTGATACTTTCTATATGTTTGTAGACGTGTAGTATTGTTTTACATTTTGTGCCCCCTCTTTGTGAACTTTTAAATTGTTGCATAACGCTCTAGTGCATACTATTCTATTTCAAACAATGAAGGTCCTTAGGCCTTGTTTCAGTTTTACCGTTTCTCAGGTATCTGCCTTCTGATGCAGTGCATTGTTGAAGATGACAAGAAGACCACCGTTTCCATTTCTTCAAGTTCATGTCGTTATTATCTCATCCCTTGCTTTGTCTTGTTTGATAAAAGTCACGAACTTCTGAATCTTGTATTGAATACATTGGGGTCATGGATAACTGAAAGTAGTTTGCCACATGTAACTGGTGATCATACCCACTACGCAACTGACATTTCAAGTATGGTAGATGCAGTCGTTTTCCTGCTGCAATTGATGCATATGGATGACAAAATCTGTCAAATCATATCTTCGTTCAAGGCAGAGATTGACTATATCATGGAAGGCATCAGGTTATTACAGGTATTTTCATTTGCACCCTCAGGCATAACCCTGCATATTCAGATAATCTTGAACTTTTTTCCCCTTACAGCATACCTGAAGCTTGTCCTCATTTGAATTTGATCATTTGATCCATTCCCGTGATAATTGCAATTATTATAAACTATAAATGTTTAAAAAGAGAGTAACTGCAGTGCAATGTCTAGTCAACATGTACATGTACACATATGGTATGTACTGCATGCAGTGGATGAAAGGATTGATATACGTAGTGTAGTGATGTATGGGGCAATGGCCAAAAATATATAAATTGTAATTTGAAGAGTGTTATGGATTGAAAAGTCTTTGATATTCTAGTTGATCTGTCACTCCATATGTAACTACTTTACAACTGGAAATTTTCGTCCCAGGTGTAATTCTTTCATTGGTTTGATTTGGTTTTTTTCCACGCGCTCAACTCTTATTTGTGCTCTTTGTGTTGAGATCTTTTTTTATTTTATTTTTACGGAAAAAAAAAAAAGGCGATCTTTAATCTTGTTCTACTTTATGTATGCAGTCATCAGCGGAAATCCGCATGACGATTGAAGAAAAGCACAAGGTGCAATGTGCACTTGGTAGACTACAGACTGTAATAATAACACTGCATAGTGAGATGCAGTCAGTCTAGAAGAACATTGTTAACCTGAGTTAACTTGCGTTGTGAGTCTTCTTCTTCATAACCATCTTTAGGATTCATTTATGTGTAGGGCCCTAATAATCCGCTTCGCTATTAAACCACTCACCCCCCCCCCCCTCCTCCTCCTCCTCCTCCTCCTCCTCCTCCTCTCTCTCTCTCTCTCTCTCTCTCTCTCTCTCAAATAAATAAATAAAGAGATGAAAGTGTGTAGGACTATTCAGAAGTTGATATCTCATGTGTACACAATCCAGTGGGAGGAGGGAGATGAAAGTATATGGCTCTGGAATGTGCTTTAGCCCTTGTAGCTTTAAAATCACACTTGGATGACATTTGGGATAACGATTAGTGAATGACCAATTTTAGATAACCAGTTTAACTACTTGTTTTCCGGACAGCTATAAGCATCCGCTGCATCTGATTCCGTTTGTTGCAGGAATACGCAACTATGGTGGAAGTACAAGGAGTTAAAAGAGAACAGACGGTGCAGATCCAGTAGCTAGAGTACGGCTTCCAGATTGATGTTGGTCGTCAATCCTTGACTTGGTTCAGCTTAGGTACTCGAAGGCCGGGACTGAATGCACTTCTCCCATGGCCGTTGTGTCTACCTCATGGTTTTCAACGAGTGTAACTAATCAAAAGCAAAAGAAGAAAAGAGTCTCAAACACGTACCAAATTTTTCGGGTTTTGGGGGCATGAAGCTAAAGTAGTGTCTCCATCGTATATCTGGCGGTGTTGGGTGTCCAATTTTGTTATAGAAAGATTGAAACAGATTGATGGTGATTTAGGAATAGTTTTTCTTTGTACTTTTACTCCTTATCTATAACCTAGTAATTAACAAGATCATTATTTTTGTTAATCCTGTTATTTACAACCAAAAACATACTAAATTCTCCGAAATAACAAATTTGTTCAAAGTATTCCAGGAACACACAAAAATGAAAAATAGAAGAAGAACAAAACAAGATTGGTGCAGATAATAACCCAAATGCCCTCGAAAGACTTAATATTTTCTTCATATATTTATGATTTGTAAACCATCTCAAATAGAAGAAGATTCATGTATGGTTAATCAACTGAACTTGTCATAATTCACGTCTTTTGTGTCCCGACAAGCATACTCTCTCTCTCGCTCACTCCTGAATCGTTCTTAGAAGATCAAGGGTCAGTCGACGGTGTGCTACTTCAAAAGATCCTCCTAGTCAGCTTTCTGACGCCTTATGGGTTTAATTGCTTGTTATTATGTCAGACTTTATGATTTGTGTTTCAAGGTGGAACCAGGGGAAGCTTGCAACCTTTAGCTAGGATTACAACGATGTCGACCCTAAACTGGCTTGTTAAATGTTTAACACTTTAAAAGTCTTTAGTTTTCATTAACTCTGAAATTTATGTTTGTATGCAATGTAACTCATTATTTATCTAATTAATTAAGTGATTGACAATAATACTTACATGTATATAATAGAATCGTCATCTGACAGTCATATGTAATATATGCGAATATACGTAAATTGGGAGATCATATCTGACCGTTGAAATGATGATTGTGCTAAATACATATAAAAAAAAGTAACAAAATAAAAAGTGATCAAATTCAATAAAACATTGCTAGGGTTAGTTCAAAAGGAACAGAAGGACCCAAAGAAATAAATTAGGCGGGAAATTTGACTCGATCCCACAATTTCCCCAATTGCTCTAACCTCAATGAAATCAGATCCAATTCAAATCAAATCCGACGAATTCATGCAATGCAATCAAAGATCAGTGCCTTCTTCAAACCCTCCTCTTCCTCTTGCCCCAACCCAGCAGCCGCATCTCCTCTTCTTTCCAACGAAAACGACGACGAATTGAGCGTCTGGGAGAATACGCAGCACCAGTACTGTAACACCTACAAGCGAAGATCTCCAAACCCTCAAAGGTATTTTTTTTTTGCTCTGGGCTTTCTGCTGTTTGGATGCCGAGAAAAAACGTTTCAACTTTTGTTTTTATTTTTTATTAAAAGTTGTTTCTGGGTAGCTTCTGTTAAGACAATTAGGAACTGGGGTTAGCCTGGATTTAAAATTTTGGGATTTTCCTTATAGAAAATCTGAGATTTAGTTTATTTATGAATATATTGATTTACTGACTGTTTAAATTTATATTTATTTGCTTTTGTTTCCCTTCCAATCTTTTCTTTGTGTGCTAAAGTAGTGGAAGGGACAAAAATCCAGTGAACCAATTGCCGGAGAAACCCTTTTCTGATGGTAATTCCGGGAAGCCGGAATCGACCACATTGGGAAGAATAGTGACCAAGAACAAGAAGAGAAGCTATGCTCAGTTCTATCTGGACTTTGGACAGTCTGATTTCAATCTGCACACGTGCTCCACGTGCGGGGTCAAGTATACCGCCGGAGACGAAGACGATGAGAAGTCTCACAGGGCATTTCACAAGGAGTATACCAATGGAATTCCATTCAAGGTGCAAATTCGTTATAGGTTTTGTGTCTCCTTTGTTAGGTCCATTGATAAAACAATGAGATTGTTAGAAATGGGTGCTTGTTTACTCAAATTGCTGACCAAATTTTGCAGGGATGGTGCAATGAGAGGGTTGTTCATTCGCCTTCTGTGGAAGGAGGTCGGATTGTTTTGGTGTTGGATTCTGATCCTCCGGCGCAGAGAAACAAGGTTCGAACACAAAATCTGTTTTCATGAATTTGATACTTTATTAGAGGATTGAATTGGATTGGATAGGATAATTCATAGAATTCAAGGTATGATAAAGGTAGAGGTGAATGATTAGAGTGAAGGAAACTTACCCCATCTGGCTTCTACCTCAAGTTAAACACAGTTTTCATTTCTTGCTTCAACCATACCTTGAAGATAATGGGTTATATAATCAAATCCAACCCTAGACACCAAACGAGCCCTATGTATGCGGTATTGTTTCAAGTTAACTCGAAGATGCACTTAATGGGGCTACTATGTTGTATGGCAGGTTGGGGAAGTTGTGAAGAGAATGGAGAGTGAGCTTGGTAATGGATGGATTTTGCACAAGTTGTGTAAGGTGAGTGACAATTAACTTGGTCATTTAGAAAATGCCACCAGAACTTTATTTGCATCAAATGTCTTTTATTGAATTACCATTAACTTCCGGATTTGTGCATTCTTTGGACGACTTTCATAGGCCTTTATGAATACTTCGGTGCCATGTAACTCCAATCTTTTGACAGTTTCAGGAGTGCAATAATGCATTTTATCAGTATTTTTATGTGGATGGTTTCCAGTATCTGACTATTGTTTTTGTAGGTATATCTGTTCATTTTATCCCAAAGGGTTGCTGGCTGTCTAGTTGTGGAACCAATAACAGAAGCATACAAAGTTCCTTCATTTGCAGCTGATGGAAGTTCTGATGGTACTACAACACATGAAGCAAAATCATCTACTCTCCAATTTGGGGATATCAGGTTTCAGAGGGAAGTCATGAGAAAAGCCCCTTCTGTTCCTAAAGCGTTGAATGAGAATCTCAACGGTGCTATCTTCTGCGAAAGGGAAGCAGTGGCTGCTGTTTGCGGCGTTAGAGCCATTTGGGTCACTCCATCTAACAGAAGAAAACACATAGCCACCCAGTTATTAGATGCCCTGAGGTATGTTCATGTTCAAGTCCTTGCTATCCTCTCTATGGATTTTCTTTTCGAGTGGATTTTATTATATTTTCATCACATTGCAATCAAATTGTACGATATTGTAACTCTGCGATTGGATCATGAACTGCTAGCCAAATTACATCAGCTAAATATAAGTAGATTTTAGTATAATAAATTGTCCAAGAATCTGAAAGAAACGCAGGTTTTTTTCTTATTCATACGGATCATATGTCCTTCGGAACTAGCAAATGCTTTTGAACCTATGATCATCTGGAAATCACTTTCTGTCCTATTATCCCAGAAGACTGAATCGCTTGCTTCTTTTCGATGTCTGCTCCGATGAGCATTTGGCTGTTTACTTATTATTTCCCCATCACAGGAAAAGTTTCTGCATGGGATTTGTCCTCGAACGCTCTCAACTGGCATTCTCTCAACCAACATCAGCTGGAAAGGCATTGGCATCCAATTATATTGGTGGTGGTGGATATTTTCTGGTTTACAAAACCAACCATACTGTCCCATAAAACTCAGATATTTGTGTCCATCTGTGCCTTGAGTTTAATTCCTTTAGAAACAATTTTGACATGTTTGCTAAATTCTAAAAGCTAGAAATTCAGTTCTTCAATCTGATTTTTTGAAGTGATTCTCATGCACTTGTCTCCAGTTAGGCTCTCCTTTTGATCTCCGTCTCGTCTCCATGTATGTAGTTTACACTATCGTCTATTTACTAGACGATATTGTAAATCACGTACTCTTGTTTACGAGGAAGGGATTCAAACTCCGGTGCAAAGTGAGCTTGTGTCTTAATTATAAAAAACATGTATATCAGTAATTCAGTAAAATATATATATATATATATATTTGAAATTTGGTGTAGTATATGAGATCTTATTCTTCCTTATTGAACAGTTCAAAACACAAAGAATAGATGTTTAATAATGTTAAATAACATGTTTTAGTAATTAAATAAAACCCTGCAGAGTAATTAATTATATTTGAGGAATTTGTTTAATAATGTATGTTTTAGAGACCCCATGCCTGGAGGCCTCAAACCTTCAGCCTTTTATATTATCAAATACAGCCAGAAATATATAGAAACCCAAAAATCAACTAATTGGACCTTTTCAATTATCTATTAGGGGGAGCAGCCTCCATGGATGACGTCTACAGAAAGAGATGTTAAAACTTCAAACAACTTCGTTGCCAAAATGTGCGTGTTTGTTTCTCTGCACTTAAGTTTAAAACTCTTTATTGTATATTTTCATTGATACAATGTTATGGATAGGAAGGTAGATTATAGGTATAGGTTGAACGCTTTAAACCTTCATAACTACGGAAGGGGAACCTCTTCGGATCCCTTCCACCTGAGCCAACTAAGCACAAAATTCGGGCCTTGAAATTTGATCCAACAGCTAAAGTTATTATAACTTTAATGTGACCCCTCCTTGTTTTTAGCCGTTTGATCAAATTTCAAGGATCCTGATTTTTTGCTCAGTTGGCTCAGGTGGAAGGGATCCGGAGATGATCTCTTTCCCATAACTACAATGCCCTCCTAAACCTTTATGTATATTACAATAATTTAAAATAAAATATTATCTAGAAAAGAAGTACCTCAATGACTTTTTTGCACTAGGAGGGCAAATAAGAGCCAAGAGGATCCTTACCGGATTCTCTTTGTCTGGATTCTGGATAATCTCCAATCATATCCGTTCATTGTATATTGTGCGGTCATTAACCATCGTAAATTTTTTAATTTAAAATTGAATAAAAACAGTACCTGACAAAAATTGATTGCACGATGTACTATGAACTAATGTGATTGGAGGATCTCGAGAATCTCACAAAGAGAATTCGGTGAGGATCCTCTCTCAAATAAGAGTACCCTTCTCTCAAACTCTAGTCTATGAATCAAGAAAGTTATGGTCATCTTTAACTTTTGTTGTTTTACTATCTTCTACATGGTTAAATTAAGATCAGACAATAGGATAACCTTAATTTTTTTAAGACCATGAGGCCTACAAGAACGGGACTAAAAGCAAATAACTTATAAATAAATAAAAATACTTCTAAATCGTAGTCCTAACCGCAGCGGCACCCAAATGTGTTTACCGTCAAACACACTCCCAAGGATGCAACGGAATTTGTGGCGATTTTATTTCCAATACATTTATAATTGTTGTAATTTTTTAAAACTGAGAAAACATGTTTGGCTATTTGGTCGAGAGAAGAAAGCTACTCCGATCAGACTGACCAATGCCCAGTAGGATGATGACGTGTATCATGGTTGGCAGCCAAGAAGACAGAGGTTGACGTGACGTGTTGAACTGATAGAAGAACGCAAAACATTTTATTTTATTTTCTTTACTTTCTTCTCTTTAATCTATTTTTATTTGCTTATTGTCTGTTGGCAAATTTGAGAATCAAGAAAAGAAATCATCTTATTTTTCAAAAATTTATCACCCACCTTTTTCAATTTTTGATTGTCAGATCGAATAAATTGAAGATTAACGTAAAAAAATTAATAAAGGTGTGTAAGAGGTAAAAATAGATATGTGAATAGCACTATCCTAAAGTAATCATAGTAGATACGAAGTTTTGGAATGATTTCAAGCTCATTTCTCCGCCAGACATTTGTCAAACCTCTCATACCTTTCTAGAGATTATTAGTTGGTTTCCTCCTCCTCCAGGAGTTTGTTAAATTAAACTTTGATAGATCTGTTTTAAATGAAAGTTTCATTATTCATTCTCAAGTAAGTTCTCCTTTAATTGTTGGAGCTAAACCCCTTGGTTCTACAAACGTGTTTTTAATCGAAGCTTCAGCACTCTGTCTAGGATTTTCTCAAGCAATTAGGGTTGGTCACAAGAAAATTGTAAGAAGGGGACTCGAAGGTTTTGATTGGTTATGTGAATGGTTCTTGCTCAATTCCTTGGAAATTTTGTTTGCTGCTTGGGTACATCCATAAACTTTTCCATGATTTTGAGGGTATTACTTTTGTTCATGTTTGTTGGGAGGCCAACTTCGTGAATGATAAATTAACCGCTTTATGACACTTTATTTCGTCAAATTGTACTGGCTTGATTTTACCCCTGATAGTGTAAGGCTTTCCTTACACTTTGATAATTGTTGTATTAGTTGCCCAAGGGACTTTTGCGTTTAATTTATTTCCTACTTTAAAAACAAACGATTTTATTTAATAAAACTAAAAAATCAAGTTTTTGACCTACTTCATTCAGAATTTAGACTCTTTTTATTTTTATATTTCTGTTTTCGATTCTAATTTAGAACAGTAATGTTTTTATTAAGAAAAAAAAAATCCCCATTTTTCCTAATAACCAGAACAAAACAAATATATTGTCTCAACAAAAAATAATAAATACAACGTAAAAAAACAATGAATTTCCGAGACTGGCCAAACAAACCGGAACGCCGCCGTTTTCGGTTGCTTGGGCCCCAAGCATCCAAATATCACATAAAAGGAATGTGTGATCTGGAAGATACGATCGAGCTACCCGTAACCTGGCTCCTCACGAAAACATCAAAAACATAATTCCCGAAATACCCCTACCGCCTTGCCATATTTACAACGTCAGTCCTAAACCCCCACACCTCTCTATATAAACCCCCTTTCCTCTGTTCATTTCTCCCCCTCCCCCAAAAATCCCCTTATTTACGATCGGATTTCAAAACTCCGACGAATTTATCACCGGAAATCTGACGTCACCTCATCGGAGACGGGATATAGTAAAGATGATGGAGGCCGAAAGAGGCGTCTCGTTCCCGGTCGTCTTCTCCGACGGTGAGACCGAGACCGATATCGGCGACCTCGTCGTCTACCCGGAGCTTGATTTCTCGCGGTTCCTGTCGGTTCTGAGTCAAAAGATCGGAATCCTGCCGGGGCAGTTCACCGTCTTCCTCTCCTCGCCGGAGACCCGCCAGCGAATCCCCATCACCGGCAAGGTCAACTTCAGCGCGATTTCTCGCGAGAAGAATTGCTTCTTCCTCGTGGAGCTCAAGCGGTCGAGGCGCGAGCGGCGGCGGAAGAATCACAACTACCAGGTCCCCCGCCACCACCAGGACTTCCGAGAAGATGAGTACCGCAACACGGCGTCGCTTGGAGCTCAAAATCCGATCAACAAGAATCTCCATCTCGAGAATGTTATGCTATTAAAGCGCGGCATGGAGATCGAAAACGTCGCCGGATTGGCCATGCCTTTTGCGGGTCAGGTCGAGTACGAGAATCGGGTCAGAGAGCTGCAGATTGAGAAAGAGAGGTACTTGATGAACATGGGCCTGGGAAGGGCCGATGGGCCCGGACTCGGGCTGGGCAGCCGGAGTGGAGCGACAGTATGCGAGGAGTGTTCGAGGGCGAACGAGATGGGGAGAGAAGTCGGGTTCCACTGGTGCGCTTACGACCCTGTGACTTTCGGGTTCAGGTCGCCGGCCGGTCCGATTTCCCGACCCGTTAAAGGGTCCGACTAGAAAGGTCACTTCATTCTGGGTTTTTTTATTGGTTGGTGATAGCGAGATTGATAGTATGCGGTTTGGTATACGATAAGGAAGGTATACCTGACTATGACATAATTTAAGGTGTGAATATTTTGTGGATATGGTCGTATGGGTTACGAAAGTGTTTGAGAACGATGTCGTTTTAGGAAATTGGAGGTGATATTTTGGGGGTGAATGTGCAATTTAGGGTTTTGAAAGGTGTAGTTGAAACTGATATGTAGCTGCCTGGATGGGAAAGATATTTCCTATTTGGTGTTTGGGAAGAGGAATTGGGTTTTTGGGTTTTTTTTATAATTCCATGGATTGGATTAGTTTCCCATCCCAATTAGGATTAAGTTATTAGTAGTAAAGGAGGGGCTCCTCAGTTTCCAGGGCTTGTATAATTATTGGTTTTTATCATTTGCTTCGTTGTTTTAGATGTGCTTTATTAAAAAACGGATTCTGTGATTCGAGAATAATTGATTATAAAATAAAACGCATTGATTAACTGTATTTTAAAAGCGTTATGAGTATGAAAAATACTCTAAAAGTGTTTAGTTAAAAAAAAAAAAAAAAGCATTCAATAAATTTTAATATAAAAATAAAATAAATTCAAAAGTCTAATTAAATAAATTGTCCCAAAAATAAATAGAAGAAAATTTTGGATCTTCGAGTTAAAAGATTGTTATTTGGAGCTTGTTATGAGTTTTTGAAAATTATGATGTAAAGTGTGAGTGGTAAATTTTCCACTTTGGTAAGTTGGTTTTTTCTTTTAGAAGCTAAAACCATCCATCAACACAATTAATGAATATTGTTTATGTATTGTACGAATTTCAAATTCTTTTATAATTGAATATCGTAATTTGAACTAAAAAAACTATCAATTAACGCAGTTAAAAATAATTATCAGCAGTTGCAGGGAGAGTTATGCTCCAAATATGTGTGTCATCAACAGAGTGTTATTATCAAATCTCAATTTATTTATTTTATTCTTTCTCATTCATTAAATTTACCTCGACAAATATACATAAACATTCTAGTCTTAAAATTCAACATTTTGGACATTCATAATTGAATTGAACGCTCGACTCTTGCATTTGACAACGAACGCAGTACAGGTCCTGAGACACTAAGGTGATTGTGAGGACTTTGATGCCCAAAATTCATCTTAATACCCAAAAGTTCACCAAAACTCGTTGCAAATTCTTCGCAACATGCACTTCCATCGCATAACCTCGAATTCTCAATTAACATGAGAAAAGTAAAAATTCATTCTCAGCTTTCAAACAAAGACGTGTTACTTCAAAACTTCATTATAATCGAATGATGTCAAACTTGAAACTGATATAGAATTGGTCACCTTGAGCAAAGGAACCATCAAAATAACGGATAAGAATTTGGTACATCAAACTGTACTGAATTATACATTTAATTTGAGAAGTATAACCAAGCGGATGTGAATCGCACACAAAAAATTCGGCATGATTAATACATAACTGCACCAAACAACCAAGTTCGCATAATTAATCATACGCAATCTTTTATATGAGCTGCCAAACAAGTTCTTAAAGCCAAGACCTGCATAGGTGCACCTTGGCGTGCGGCCATGGACCACGGACCCATCCAGCTTGTTATCCCTCGAACCTAGCCTTCTGACGAGGGAGTACCCGCTCCTTAACAATGGCCCAAACGAGTGAGTTATGAGCCCGACCAATTAACCCAAAAGAGATGCATGTTTACTTATTTGTATACACCCACTCTGTAGCCCATCATTTGTGTGCAAAAAGGACGAGTCTCATCAAAGTGGTGGCCGATTAAATCCGTTATGTTGATTTAGAGAGATTTTTTAGTGTGACGGGAACCCGAGACGGTACATCACGTGTCATTATACAAATGGTGGGATATGTGTGTTAAAACGTTAATAACTTAAAAAAATACAATTTCCCACCACTTGTATAAAAACACGTGTATCATCCGTGTTCCAGTCACAAGGTAAAAATTTCGTTGATTTGGTGCCTGCAAAACGTATCAGACTTTCTCGCGTTACCTCTCCCACATCACCCACATACATCTTTCATCACCCTGATCCTCATTTAATCGCCAAGTGTCCATAAGACAGATGTTGGATTTCTGCAATTGCAAATCCATCAGCAGCTTCTACTTTTACCTAATCATAAATGGACAAGTGTCCAATCTGTGTATACAGTTTTACCTATTTGGACAACTGTCCATTTGTATTTGAGTAGAAGCAGGAGTTGCGGTAGCCAAGTAGTGTTATATAGAATAGAAGGAGGTTTTGAGTTAAGGAGTAGTGGAAGCGCGAACGAGCCGACCTGATATGGCCCGAATCCTCAAAATGTGATGCTGATGTTCAGAGAGTGGTCACAGGGGCCTAAAACCTAAAATAGAGGAGAATAACTTAAATACAACAAGTTATTGCAACCGTAGCATTTAGGTCTAATAATGTATTAACACGTAAAAAAATACTACAGAATATGACTGATTGGGATGTGATGGTAGTGATGAATAGTGATGGTAAATCCGTCCCATGCCATTGATTCTCAAAGTGATAGAACTAGGACTTGTTTGGTACCACTTTAATTTCCTATATAAGGTTTTAAATTAATTTTGTAAGGAAATTTTGGAAACTCGCGTGTTTTCATGATATTGTAAATAAATTATGGGCTGGGTTGTTTTCAAAATTTTATTAGTTCCATTGAAGCCTTGCTAGTTGGAATTGAAAATTGCTCGGTGCCTCATCAATTAGTTTCCAAAAACTCGTTTTTCTTGGGAACCAAACAGGCCGTAACACACAGACCCATTTTCTTTCTTCTTTAGAGAGAGAGAGAGAGAGAGTTGTAACGTCGTTTTAAAATTAACTTTTGTCCATATTGCAGTGCCGCTTTTAGACCTTTAAAATCCCCCTCTTTATTTTTCTATGTTTTTTTCTCTCTGCCTTTGTTGGGTTTTTTCTTCAGTGCTTGCATATTTGCAAGGAGAAATTTTCATTTTTTGTTTGTTGGTTGTGTGAAATTTGCTGGGTTTATGCTAAAAATGGCTGGATTTCCACCAAATCCCGACGACGGTGAACTATGGCTTCCATCTGATTTTTTTTTTTCAACGAAGCAGCTTCTTCAACCTCCATACTTAGCCGTCACCATTTCTCTAATACCACGGACGACCTCGCTCGGCAGTTGGCTTCTCTCTCTCTCTCCTCAAACAATACCAAAGTCCAAGCCTTTCAAATCTTTAGGTCTCTCTCTCCTGACTCACACACAGCTTGATTTCCATTGCACCCTTTGCTTTGCATGAATGTCTAACATGGGGTGTTTTGAATTTTAACAGAGTTTGCACCGGGTCAGATTGGCGGTGCGGTCCACCCGGCTTGATTAATTGGCCCAGAGGTACTTTAATCTCGGCGACAGCCATGGTTTTGTACAAAAAGGTCCTATTTTTCATGGGTACGGGACTCAACACCTCAATTACCACTCTCAGTTCATGAACCCAGCTCAACTTCTGGTAAATACAGGACCAGAAAACTGAACCGAATTTTTTTGCCCTTAGTCTATATTCAAATGTTTTGCTTACTTTAATAAATGAAAGTATTGTCATTTAGTACTACAATTTAAAGTGATCTATAAGTTTGAACATCGAAAATGGTGAGTTTGCAACTAAATTTATTTCCACATTAATGTACATATACTTGTAATATTTGGGCAGGTTGGTAGCTTTTTGGAAACCAGAAATGGGATTCCGAGGAGACAGCAAAACCGTGTTTTGCCATTCCAAGGTAGATGGAATGGATCAATGGGTGGTTTTGGGAGGGTTTGTGGAGGCACATGCGTGTTTCATCCCAGGGTTTTGCATTCCACAACCATAACCACCACCACCGCCATAACCAGTAATCCGGAGGTCGTAAGGAAGCAGGGTCAGTTATTAATTCCTTCTGAGTCTTTTTTTGTCCCAGGCAAAGTATGGTTTTGTATTGTTTTATATGTTAGATGAAACAGGGCGTCTAGTGATTAGTGGTATTAAACCAAGTACGCAATGTTATCTTAAAAAAATTAAAACACTTTACAATGTCTAATAGGTTTGTGCACAACCGTCTTAGCGTTCCCGTTTCATGTTCTGACCTCCATTTGTTTCTTGCTTCTTTTCTGTGTTTGAAGACATGATATTTGTTTGTGTGTTGATCCATTTGTTTATTTTCTGTTTCGTTTAACTTTTGTTTAACTTCTCGTATCATGTCTAAATATGTTACATCATTGCTGTCTGCAAAATGTTTTGTGTCGATATATGAAACAGTGCGTGCATTTTACACAAATTGTAAGAAGAAGACGTATGCCTTCTTTGATGCTACGTGTTTTCAATTAAGTTTTTTAGCAATTTGTTTTAAGTTCAGAAAGATTGACGCTAAATATATTGAATAATTCAAAGAAAATTAAAATAATATGAAGGAAGGAGAAACATGTTTAAAAAGAGACGGTGTGAAAATCACTTATCATAGAATAACGACTATCAATCGTCCATGCATTCATGGCAGTTAATGGTAGCATGCACGTTGTCATGTTTGCAAACGAGAATTTTATCCTTCCAAGAGAAATGCTAAGGGGATTCTCTCAGAAGTCGGAGTCTTTATGAATTCTCTGTCATCTCATGTTTTTAACTTAATGTTTTATATTGTTGACGCAAAAATTGATGTTAAAGAAAGTTCATAAAGTGTTCTACTTTTGAGAGGCTCCCTTGGAATTTCTCTTCATCCAAATATCATGATTGAGTTATTGATTATATGTTATGTTGTAGGTTTAAGAAATAGGGAGGAGATTAAAGCCATCAAAAGCGTTTGTTCCAATGCTGGTTTGCCTCGAGACTGGACTTATTGAGCCTTTGTGACCTTTCTCTAACTGTGGTATTCTGTCTTGTTCATCGAAGAAGAATAGAAGTTTAATTATCTTGAGTTTTGTGCAGAAGAAATGTAAGAAAAGACCAGTAACTTGTGTGTGTTTATTTTTCCCTTCACTTTGTAAGGGTAGATTTTGCTGAATAAATAAAAACTTAGTTACTTTTCTTTGATTTTGCGTCATAAACTTAACACGTATTAATTAATAATAAACCTCATAGAATACTAATCAATGATAAAGCTCACAAAAATGTATAAAATGAGTTTAGAAGATTCAATCGCTCAACACCCAAGCACATGCATAGGGAGGAGCGCACATAAGATTGTGCGCAAAAATTCTTCTAATTGTGAATGTGTATTGCGTAATGGGTTAAGAGTAACTCAATAAGAAAGGTTAAGAGTTCGATTTTCCCTATACAACCCTTTTATTCTTAAAATTGATAAGTGGCATCAATAAACCCAATCCATGTGAGAGGCTAGAAAAAGTAACTTTCGAAAGCTCGATGCCAAGGCTTTGTTAGTCTATTGACTCTATTCGCGCGGTGTTGAAAGTTGCTAAATCATATCATCAATGTTATCCGTTCCTAGAGGATTTGTTATCCTAGGCGTGAAACAGGAAGAGCGATAGAAGATGAATTTTTTAAAAAGAAAAACTAATGAAAAGTATTTGAAAATTTTGAGTTTTAACGATAAGGACAAAATAAATGATAAAGTGAATAGTATCAGGTAGACCTGTAAACGGGTCGGGTTTATTGGGTTTGGGTTGGGTTCTACCCGACCCGTTAAGTTAACGGGTCATCCGAACCCAACCCGTTAAGCTAACGGGTCACCTGTTTCACCCGTTAACATCCGTTAACAATTATTATTATTATTATTATTATTATTATTTTTTTTTTTTTTTTTTTTTGCATAAAGTTTATTTTTTGTTGTTAAGATTTGACTGAAATTACTAAAATATCCTCAACTAACGGGTGCTAACGAGTTGATCCAAAGTGACCCATTATTTAATGGGTCATTAACGGGTTCATCCGTTAGCAATCCGACCCGTTAAGCATCCACCCAAATACTAATATTAACGGGTTGGGTTCAAAATGCCTGGTCTACTCGCATGCAAGCACCCTCTATACAAATTGATACAGTTATATTTTAGGTGTGTTTCGGTCGAATTAATGCTACTTAAGCTTTGATCTGTATTCATTTTTCTGCTCAGAAACGTAGCCTCGGTGAAAGTAGACTTGTAAACGGGTCGGGACCCGACCCGTTAAGTTAACGGGTCATCTAAACCCAACCCGTTAAGCTAACGAGTCATCCGAACCCGACCCGTTAAGCTAACGGATTACTCGTTTCACCCGTTAACATCTGTTAACAATTATTATTATTTTTTTGCATAGAGTTTATTTTTGGGAGTTTTAACGAAAAGCCCACGGTACTGTTCACTTTAACGAAAAACCATATTTTTACACTAAAACGTCAATCTGGTACTATTCACTTTACCCTTTATTTTGTCCTTATTATTAAAACTCAAAGTTTTCAAGCCTTTTTCATTAGTTTTCCTTTTATTTTTTGTTGTTAAGACTTGACTGAAATTACTAAAATATCCTCAACTAACAGGTCTAATAGGTTGACCCAAAGTGACCCGTTATTTAATGGGTTGTTAACGGGTTCATCCGTTAACGACCCGACCCGTTAAGCATCCATCCAAATACTAATATTAATGGGTCGGGTCGTGTTAATGGGTCAGGTCCAAAATGCTAGGTCTAATATTATGATTGACTTTTTAGTGTAAAAATATAAGTTTTCGTTAAAATGAACAGTACCGAAAACTTTTCGTTAAAGTTCAATTTTTTAAAATCTTCTTAAAATTTCAGCTACGAGTCGGCTGAAGATGCTCAAAGTATGGGAGTTTTATACAAAAATGTCTCTATACAATTAGTGTTGAAATTATTCAAAATAAACTGTATTAAGTTTTCGTTGTTGGACTTTACGTTCTTCAACAAAAATGTCAAATTTATGTCAGTCACCTCTTCAGCACCATCCAACATCAACATGTGCATCTAAGTTGTGAGAATTCAAATCATTTCTCCATTGGAAAGAGAAATACAACTCAACTAATAGCTGGTTGGTACACAAATATATTTATTTAAAGAAAAAAAAGTCACACTATTTATTTTAATACAACAAATATTTACACCAAGTCGTGAAGAAATTAGGATAAGCCATACAAAGATTTTATCATATTAATTTGGTACCAATGAGATTCAAACCTATCTTCTCACACCTACAAATAAAGATGTATACTACTAAACTAGCAGCTAAAGTACGCACAATTTATTAGAAAGGAAAGGGATTCGGAGGATCCCTTATACTAAATTTACCAAATCCATTAATCTAAGTCCTTGAAATTTGATCTAATGGCTAAAAACAGGAGCTCCTTTAAAATTATAATAATTTTAATCGTTGGATTAAATTTTAAGGATTCGAATTAATGAATTTGACGGAAGGGATCCTTTCCTATTAGAAAACCACGGCCGAACGAGATTGGGTCCCACATATATAGAGCCCTCCACTGACACGACGATCCTGTTTCCTGTTTCGTTCCCATATAACCACGTTCGTTCGTTTCCCTCCGCATTTCGACGACGGACGAAAAGAAAATGAACAACTTATTACGCAACGTCTCTCTCATCCGATGTCTCCGTCACAACAAACCCGTGCTCTGAAATTTAATCGCACGTTTCGCATTTTCTCTCTTGCCAAACAGTCACTGAGAAAGTGAGGGAAAATCCGGCGAGAAAATTTTGAAAGATGGGGGTTCCGCAGGCAATGGAGGCCCTGGAAGCGAGAGCTTCGTCTATGAGAGACGCGCTGCACAAGAGCCAGACCATCACCGACAACATGGTCGCCATTCTCGGCTCCTTCGACCACCGCCTTTCCGCCCTCGAAACCGCCATGCGTCCCACTCAGGTCAGTCACCTCGCTTTCTCTCTCTCTGTTTATTTCTCTGCTTGTTTCCCGAGAAACCTGAGGAAAATGTCACCTTCTTCATCGTCGTTCGGAAATGTACTTGTTTATAAACGCTGCGTTTGTTCGTCTGGTGTAATTTATGTCTCTTTTGGTTTGATATATATTTTTTTCTTCATATAATGTAAGTATACGTAGATGGAGCTGATGAGATGTTTAGACTTAATTGACATAAATTCAGGATTTTGATTTGGGTTTCTTTGTGAATTGGTGAAAATTGTGGATGGTAGATTAGGACTCATTCGATTCGGAAGGCGCATGAGAACATTGATAAGACATTGAAGGCTGTAGAGGTTATATTGGGGCAATTCGACCTCACACGAAAGGTTAATTAGCTCTTATTCGATTTGTTGATGCAATGCAATTTGTAATTTGTTCTTGGTTGTTGACGTATATGAAGAATTTGATTGGAAAATGTGGCGGTGTTGGTTTAGGCAGAGGCTAAAATACTGAAAGGGCCTCATGAGGATTTGGAAAGCTATTTGGAAGCAATTGATCAGCTGAGAAGCATCATTCATTTCTTTAGTAGCCACAAAAATGTTAAGAGTAGTGATGGGGTGCTTCATCATGCCAATAACTTGCTTTCGAAAGCCATCTCGAAGCTCGAAGATGAGTTTAGACAGCTGCTCACAAATTACAGGTTCACTTTAATTACGGCTAAACATCTTTGTTACCATTTCCTGCTTTCAACTTACTATCAGTCAACTGTTAAACATGACATGCAAGCATTGAAATTTTGTTTACTCTTTCCATTGTATCTAGTTAAGCCTTTTATAGTTTTGTTCTTTTGTAATTCTTTTTCCGTCTCGGTTGAGGAAGTCACTCTGTAATTTTTGATCTGGAAGTTTGAATTTTGTACAGAAACATTGTCTCAAATACATGAAAAAATAAAGAGTAATTAAAAAAATGAAGATGGTAGTTAGGAAGTTGAATTCACTATAAAGAATTTGACTTTACCACAGCTTTGTCAAGCCAACAGATGTGATACGATCTAAGATTATGTAAGATTCTTGGTGCCCTATTTTTGTTGATAAATGTTGACGTTTTACTTCTTGTAGATTTCAAGCGTAACAAATTTGTTTTGGTTAAATTCAACCTTTTAGTCCTGGCCTTTCACCTCATAATAAACCTTACTGTTTCTTCTTATTCGTCGTTTCCTGTCTCTCTTGTTTGCCATATTTCCTGTTGTACCATGCCAATCCTATGATACGATATCAGGACTGACAATCAATGAACTCTGACGTTATATCCCCTCAAGTAAGATTTTTTTCTTTCGTATTTCAGCAAGCCTGTGGAGCCTGATCGTCTATTTGATTGTCTCCCTGACTCTCTACGACCAGATCCATCTGGACAGAAAAATGATGCTGGTGGAAAGGGTTCTGAACACCCAAACAAAGGTTTAAAACCTGTCATTTACACACCACTAACGCTTATTCCCCCAAGGGTTCTGCCATTACTGCATGATTTAGCCCAACAAATGGTTCTAGCTGGCCATCAACAACAGCTATTTAGGACCTACAGGTGAATTCTTTATTTCTTTTGTGTGGTTTAATGTTATGTTGCACCGTTGCTTACATTGTCAGTCATATGTGATCATTTCTGTTCGTAGTTAAAGTAGATCTTTAAATAATAGGTGTATTCATTAGGACAAAGAACATACTCAAAAGTTTTCTTCATAAAGTTACTCTTGCTCTCACCTTTTCTCCCTTTTCATCTAGAAGAGTTACAAAATAGTTGCCTTGGTTTTCTGACCGCTTGATGCTGACCAAATTCCTGACCGAGATTGAGTTAATTTATATGAATTAAAATGAACAGGTAACAAAATGATGTACTTATAATTTCCAAATAATGCAGCCTAAATTACAATAAAGCCATGAATTCATTTGCCTGGTCATGCTTTGACCTTGATGAGATGGACATAGTCCATGTATTTCTTAGCAATGTACAGATTATTGGTTTTCAGATATTATGATTTCAATAATTTTTCTTTAAGAAGAAAAGAATACTAGAAAAAGAAGAAAATGGTGGTGGAGATTTTTTTTTTTTGTTTGCATTTATTCTCTAAATAGGTTTGAGAAATATTTCTGTTTGGTCTTTTTCCTTTCTACATAAGATACCAAAGAGGGAACGAAGGATATGACTATAGATAGGGAAAACTGGAAAGAAAGGGTTCCAATAGCCAACCCCACTTGTTTGAACTTAAGGCTTGGTTGAGTAAGTGCATCAATTCAAATCTTTCTGATCTTTGTTTCACATATTATTCATAGACTTAGACTGACAAAGATGTTCTTATAGGGACACTCGTGCTTCTGTTTTGGAGCATAGCTTGAGGAAACTAGGAGTGGAGAGACTTACTAAAGATGATGTCCAGAAAATGCAGTGGGAGGTTTTAGAGGCTAAGATTGGGAATTGGATACATTACATGCGGATAGCTGTAAGAAATCATGAGTTTTAGCTCAATTAGTTGTAAATGGCTTGTTTGTTGGTACCTGTTGCTTCCTTATCTACAGTTATTATCTTTATTTATTTCATTACCTCTGTACTGTTTAAAACAGGTGAAGCTGCTGTTTTCTGGGGAAAAGAAAATCTGTGATCAAATATTTGAAGGTGCTGAGACACTTAAGGATCCATGTTTTGCTGAAGTTACTGCAAACAGTGTGGCTATGCTCCTCAGTTTTGGGGAGGCTATTGCCAGAAGCAAGAGGTCACCTGAAAAGTTATTTGTTCTTTTAGACATGTATGAGATAATGAGAGACCTTGAGTCAGAGGTAATGAAATTTTAGTAATTGCATAAAAATTAGACCATGATTATAAATTTCTGAAATTGTTAGTTGTGTGCTTGATTAAACATTTTGAGAGTTTCTTGCTACATAATGTTTAGGGATTCATGGCAGAAATTTAAATCCTTTTAGATATGGACATATGGCAATTAATTTTTTGAATGGATAACAAACACATACTCACATACTCAGTCACTAGTTTATGTACGAGATCGTTTTGGTTAAATCACTTAACCAACTTGCATAAGATGTTTCTGAAGTCCATCCATTCTGCTAATTTGGGACAAAACATGCAGTTTCTCACTCTTCACTGTAGTGCTGGCTTCGATGTGAATGTGAAAATGATGAAATGGATGCTATGTTGCTGATATAAATCCTTGTTAAGACCTTAGTATTGGTTTCTTAAATCATGGCAGAGCTTGTGTAAGTTTGAATGAGGCCTGACAACACCTTAGAACTCAACAATAAATAGCCTTTAAATTCACAAATTCATAGGTTTAATTATATAAGATGATCACTGGAGTAAATTGAAGGCCAAAAGGTTGAAAAGTATTAACATGGGGGTAAGTGTAATAATGTCAAGCTGAGTTCTTCTAGAAATTTATATTGCAAGGAAACTATAACTCTTAAAGAAAGTAGAAGGTCAAAATATCAGTTTAGTTCTCGTCCTTATCTTTATATGGTCAGCAAATGTTGGTTTAATACTTCCAATGAAACGATCGATGGTAAAATATAATTCTTATATTTTACTTTTCAGATTGAGTTACTTTTTGGAAGTAAAGCTTGCATGGAAATGCGGGAATCTGCAGTAAGTTTGACAAAGCGTCTAGCTCAAACAGCCCAGGAAACTTTTGGTGATTTTGAAGAAGCTGTTGAAAAGGATGCCACAAAAACTGCTGTTCTTGATGGAACCGTCCATCCTTTGACAAGCTATGTGATAAACTATGTAAAGTTTCTTTTCGAGTAAGTAGTTATTCCTTTGCTTTCTGATTCTTGCTATTTTGTTCTTTCTCTGAGGAGATTGCAAATATAATAACTTTGAAGCATTCATGATTGCTGATGTCTTTGAGGGTGATCTGATATACTGTATAATTTTTTTTTGACCCTACTGCATATGGTAAATTCTCTGCTTTGTTGAATTGTTAGTTACTTGGATTGTTTATCTCCACGTTGGCAGGTTATGAGGGTGATGTTTACTTTATTAGTAAACTGGAAAAAAACACCCCTACAACTATAAGTTTTATAGAAAAACACTTTTAAGAGCTCAATTGGAGTAAAAAGCCCTTCATCCATCCACTTGTCATGCACTAATTGATTCTTAGTTGTGAAGTTATTTTGGTATTACAAACTAAGTTGGGGTTTCTCTAAAATATTGAGTTTGAAGTGTTTTTTCTCTCTCTAAAGTGTGATGTTATCTAGGGCTTATATGTGTATCAAGATCATTGCAGTAATTTCCATATCAATTAAAATATCTATCAGCTAAGCCATTTGCCTTTTTTTGTATCTTCCTTTTCTCTCAATCCCAAGTTCGGTTCTCTTTCTATTTTTCTGGTACTTTTTTCACAGTAACTGTGCAAACATCACTGCATGACTGTTTAAAATGTTCACAGTTATCAGTCTACACTGAAGCAACTTTTTCAAGAGTTTGATGAAGGTGAGCCAGAGTCTCAGTTATCAAAGGTTACTACAAGGATTATGCAGGCTCTTCAGAACAACCTGGATGGAAAATCTAAGCAGTATAAAGATCCTGCACTCACTCAGTTATTTCTCATGAACAACATTCACTATATAGTGAGATCCGTGCGGAGGTTTGTTCTATAGTTATTCTGCTCATTGAAAGATACTGATCCTATCTGCATGCTACTACTGTATTAACTGATAAGTAATTATATACAGGTCAGAAGCAAAGGATTTGTTGGGGGATGACTGGGTGCAGATACACCGAAGGATCGTGCAGCAGCATGCAAATCAGTATAAGAGGGTTTCTTGGGCAAAGGTTTTGATTCTTTGCTTGTACTATTCCTCCACCATATTATTTCTGTTTTCTTTTGATGCTGCCTTGTTCCCTGGTTTTGAATTCTTGTTAGATATTGAGCATTCGGGATTTGTTTGTGTTGGTCATGTTTTCCCTTTATCAATAGCCCAAATTTACCCTTTATTCGAAAATTTCACAGTATATCCATTCATTTTCATATTTTCCTCGGGACACTTGATCATGTGGCCTTGATCCACTCCCCTGGCCTCCTGGTCTCGACTATTTTTTAATCTGTCTATTCTTAATACATTATAGATGATTATGGTATTCATATGTTTCGAATAAACCATTAGAAGGTGTTGAAGTATGGCAACATCTTTATCCGCTATAACAGCAGTAAATGGGCTCAACTATTGTCAAAATTTCAATCTAAAGTTACAATGCCCGAATTATTCTTCCTGTTATTTGAAAATCATTCTCATATGCTCTGGTGTCTTTATTTGATTTTTGTGATGCAGATTCTGCAGTGCCTTACCGTTCAGGGCGGAAATCCATCAGGTGGTGATAGCAGTTCACTTTCAAGAGCAATGGTGAAAGATCGGTTCAAGACCTTCAACATGCAGTTTGAGGAGCTTCATCAAAGGCAATCTCAGTGGACAGTTCCTGACAGTGAATTGCGAGAGTCTTTAAGGCTAGCTGTTGCTGAAATCCTCTTGCCTGCTTACAGATCATTCATCAAACGTTTTGGGTACGTTTTCTCCTATTTTCCAACATTTCCTTTGAAAAAATCCATAATTTCTGCATTTCTGGCATCAACGTTGACACGCATCGTGTTGCAGGCCTATGGTCGAGAACGGAAAAAACCCGGGGAAGTATATAAAGCTACGTCCGGAGAATATTGAGTCAATGCTGAATGAATTTTTCGAGAGTAAGTCGTGGGGAGAACAGAAGCGATAGGTAGTTGACATGCCTGTTTTGAGAAGCAGGCACTTAGCTTCCAACGGTAGTCTTTGTACAATTTAAGATGAGGTTAAATAATAAGCGATGTTATATGCCCCATGCAAAGCTTTCAAATTCAAGTTCTTTTACGTTTTGATTTTCTGCTACCAAATAAGAAATATGCAGGAAATATTCGTTTCTGTGAAAATGTTAAAAGAAAATATAATACGAGATAATTGCTCTTAGCATTTTTAAATAATTATCTCGTACTTAATAAAATGAGAATAGTGTGGTTATTGTTTCAGTATCAAATTTATTTTTACTAGTATTTCTTTTTAATTAATGTATGTACATACGTGTTTATGATGCATGTACACCACATGTGTTGCATGAAGAGGAAATACGCAATATGTACAATTAATGTTTGTAGAGAAAAACCTTTGTTTTATGGAATGGTCAGTATGTACATGATTAACGACTACAATTATACCTTTTTCAATACACAAACAGATATTAAAATGAATATTTAAAAACGGCTGGAACTCAGTCGAAGTTGGCGTTCTAGGCCCTTACGCCCAATGTAAGCCATTTCCTCTAGTTCAATCCCTTTCTAATCAAGTTGTTGATTTGACTGCTGCTAGAGGATAACTTTTCATCTTGCAACCCGGGCTTTTATTCCTCTGCAACTACTAAATTGCCATTAGAAGGAAAAAAAAAAAAAAATACCTTCTTTGCCGCCCATTATGCCACGCCATAAAGCACTTTTGAAACCTTGGGCTGCACACTGTTCATTTCCAACAAAATGACATACCCATCAAGATATCAGTTAAAATCCAGTGAGTTGGGCCTTGAACAAGCCGGACACATGTTTTCAGTCCAAACACTTTCTTTTTCTCTATTTCTTTTAGTCCAAGTCCATTAGAAAGGTTCAAGTCAGTCCGATCAAAAGTCCCATGAAATTGAGTAGGAATTGCATGTTTCCATGCCTAAAGAGATATTTTTGAAGCCTGTACACCAAGTGTTGGAGAATCCTAGTCCACAAAAAGAGGTGTAGGCCATGCATTCGCATTTCCCAATGCCCTCTGTCGCATTATAAATAAACTCTTCAAGTAGAGCTACGATAGTACACAACCCACGACTTCAACCCTGTCACGATTCTAGTGTGACAAGTACCAAAACTGTCTCTCACTCAGGACATGGCATCCCCTCCTACTTCTTTGGTGTTCACAGTGCGGAGGCGCCAACCGGAACTGGTAGCGCCGGCGAAGGCCACGCCCTATGAGTTTCGACAACTTTCTGATATCGATGACCAAGAAGGTCTTCGGTTTCAGATCCCTGTGCTACAGTTTTATCGGTACGATCTCTCTATGCAAGGGAGGGACCCCGTACATGTCATTAGAGAGGCAATTGCACAAACTCTAGTGTTTTACTACCCTTTTGCAGGTAGGCTCAAGGAAGGGCCTAACCGGAAGCTTGCAGTAGAATGCACGGCTGAGGGTATCATGTTCATCGAGGCTGACGCTGACATTACCCTAGAGCACTTTGGTGACAACCTTCACCCGCCGTTTCCCTGCTTGGAAGAGCTTCTTTATAATGTTCCTGGTTCCGACGGGGTTCTTAATTGCCCACTCTTACTAATTCAAGTACGTTTACGTATATACTTTATAAAAAGTTAAGGAATCAAAATTTCATCACTATCTTTTTCATCTCATGTGAGTGACACAGTTTAGCTTTTTTCTTTTAATATTTTGCAGTAACATAATAGTTTAGAAAAATTTGATATAAGTTCATTTTTTTAGTCAATATTAGAATTAGTTCAATTTATTAAAATAAATCCAATTCCTTAAGATTAAGATTATTTTTTTAACGATAATTATTTCTGTAATGATAAAATTTACTATAAAAATTAAATTTCTTCCTAGTTATATATTTAATTATTTTTTCATCTTTTTTTTTTTTTTTTCCTGTTCTTATTCTTGCTCTAAACCCCGTTCGTGGATTTTAATTTTTAATTTTTATAATCAACCTGTATCACATATTAATATGCATTACTTGTCGGTATATTATGTTTTTGTGCCTTTTAATTAGGTTTTGTTTCTTGCTAATATACATTCATGTATTATTTGAGTTAGGTCATATGTTATGCAGATGGATTTATGTTAGTATATTAATTTTTTTGTTAGAAGTTATTATGTAGATTTATTAAAATTAGAAGATGCATTAAATTTAAATGCCCCTAATAGTTTTCTACGGTTCAAGTTATTTTTCTATGATCCGAATTATTCTGTTTTTAGAGTAATGTGTTATTTGGTTTCCGAACTATCGAGTGGAAATTATGTTCAAATGATTTTCTTGGAAAAATATGTTTGTAAACTCATTAAGAATAGTCATCTTCATCCTTATTATTAAATATAAAATTATTATACCTAATTTTTCATTAATTTAATCCACAAGACTTGCACTTTAAAGGATAGTTTGACAATTTTAATGAGTTTAATTTTTTTTTTCCCCAAAAAGAGAAATTTAACACTTAATTTTCACTCTATATTAATTAAGGGACCAAATCAATAATTTACTCTCTTTCCTATTACTTCAGCCAAAAAAAAAAAAAAAAAACTAATGTTTATATTACCTTAATTTTGACACCTTCAGTTTTTTACTGCAAGTTGGTTAGTTTGTAAATATTTCTTATCCAAAAACAATAAAAGGTACAAATAGATTCATGCAAATTAGATATCGACTTAATTGTCTTCTGGCATAACAAGTTGATTAGGTAGGTTTGACTTTACGTAAATTTATATGATTACGCAAGTTTAACTTTAAAAATGTCCCCAAAAAAAAAAAAAAAAAAGTACTTCGAATAATATTTAGGCTTATTTTTAATACACGCATTGGAACTTGATTTTAATTTTATTTTACTCTTTGTAATTCAAAATCACCACTTTACTTCCTAAAACTTAAAGTTTGCTTCACTTTGCCCCTTGAAACTTAACTTTAATCTTATTTTACCCTCTTGAAACTTGAAAGTCATCTTAAAAAAATTCAAAATTTGCTTGACATTGCCTTACATCTGTTAATTTCTTCTATGGGTTCGATTTGGGTGCACTAGGCTAATGAATTTTTACTTTAAAACATCTCCAAATGAGATATCAAAATCCTAAGTGGAATGCTATTGTGCATATTTGACATCAAAAGTCTTTCCAACTGAAGTCTTATTTGTTGACTAGATTTGAAGGCTTTGTCATTAGGAGTCAAATTTATTTTTAATTAATTATAATAGTGGGTCTTTTATTCTACTAACATTTCAACTAATACAAATTTTGTCTTAACATTTTTTTTTAATAATTACAACCATTTAAAAATCTATTTTAATAAGAAAAATAACATTTGACAATTCAATTGGAGAAGTAGAAAATTTGACATAAAACTTTAGATTGCCACATCACCCATCAATTATAATTTGATATTCCTTTAAAGATGGGCTTAATATCAGTATTGCTTTTCATTGTAGTGGTAGTGGAATAATATTTAAGCATCCATCTCTCTTTTTTCAACGTTGTCATCTATCATGCATCCATTATTGAAAAATCTTGATGGTTTATTGAGAAAGTTTCAAAGTTGCAATCTATCATTCACGATGAAAATCTATGGAGAAATTTTAAGTGTCAATGTTCATCACATGCATATGATTCTTTCGACAATGGTATAGGTACTAGTTTAATGTAAGCTCCAAAAGAAGGATAGAGATCTTCTCCAGATCTCTTCCTTTAAAGCCCAAGGATTAAGTGATCCAGGTTGAAATTTGATCCAACGGCTAAAATTATTATAACTTTTAAAGAGCTTCCTATTTTTATCAGTTGGATCAAATTTTAAGGGTCCAGATCACTTGATCCTTAGGCTTGGGTGGAAGAGATCCGGAGAGGATCTCTTTCCCCAAAGGAAAAGGATCCAGAGGATCCTTTTCTTGGGAATCCTGGAGATCTTAGGATTGTGACCGTTTATTATACATTGTGCAAGCAGAAATTATTTTAAAATTAAATATAAATAGTACCTAACGAAAACTGATTACACAATTTACAATTAACGATCACGATTACAAATTTTTAAAATCTTTAGAAAAAGAATCCAACGAGCCTTTTGCTTTCCCAAAAGAGTATCTTGACTTTCTAAACAAACAAGTACTTAGAATAATATTATTTAAGTTATCATCGATGAGAATTTGAATACAGACAAGTGACATTAATGTTGATTACATGTTCATGTTTATATCAGCTATCAAGTGACATTATCGACTTTTTTCATGGGACCTGGCTTATCTGTTCTCTCAGTTCTTATATACTCCAATCTATTTCGTGATTACGGTTAAATTATATCAATATTTTATATTATTATTATTTTTTATCTTATTATCTGTATAAAAAAATCAATATAGAAGGTTGACGTGGCTTAACAGTGATCCCATAAAATAGAAAGAGATGAGAATGTATAGGAACTAGTAGGGCAGAGAAGCCTCCCATCCCCTCTTATTTGTGCGGTTACGGTTAAGTCACATCAACATTTTATATCACTATTATTTTTTATCTTATTATCTCTATAAAAAAATTAATATAAAATATTAATATGGCTTAATCGTGACAACACAAAATAGAAAGGGATGTGAGTGTAAACTGGGAGGGCCGGGTCCTTTTCATGATAGTACATAAGGCTTGGCAACTCGGGACAATTATTGTGCTGTTTGTACAATAATTTGTTTGCAATGTATCCTTCAACTAAACATATTCGTCGTAATTCATAAACAGGTGACGCGCCTCCAGTGCGGTGGTTTCGTCTTCGCCCTCCGTCTTAACCACACCATGAGCGACGCGGCGGGGCTCGTCCAATTCATGACTGCCGTAGCAGAGATAGCTCGCGGCGCAACTTTCCCTACCGTCCAGCCCGTGTGGCAGCGGGAGCTGCTCAATGCGCGTGACCCACCCCGCGTGACATGCACGCACCGCGAGTACGAAGAAGTGGAAGACACCTATGGCACCATTATCCCACTTGATGACATGGTCCACCGGTCCTTTTTCTTCCGCCCCACCGAGGTGTCCGCCATCCGAAGATTTGTCCCGCAGTACCTCAGCAAGTGCTCCACGTTCGAGGTCCTCACGGCCTGCCTCTGGCGCTGCCGTACCATCGCGCTCCAGAGAGACCCAAATGAGGAGGTGCGCGTGTTGTGCATTGTGAACGCGCGGTCCAAGTTCAACCCTCCGTTGCCGGTGGGTTATTATGGCAACACGTTTGCATTCCCGGTGGCGGTGACGACGGCATGGAGGCTATGCAACAACCCATTGGGGTACGCGTTGGAGCTGGTGAGGAAGGCCAAGGCGCACGTGACGGAGGAATACATGCGGTCGTTGGCTGACCTCATGGTTATTAAGGGTAGGCCCCACTTCACGGTGGTGAATTCTTACCTTATGTCGGATGTGACCCGTGCTGGGTTCGGAGAGGTGGATTTTGGGTGGGGGAAAGCGGCTTATGGTGGGCCAGCGAAGGGCGGGGTCGGGGCAATACCTGGAGTGGCTAGCTTTTACATACCGTTTAGAGACAATATAGGGGAAGATGGGATTGTGGTTCCGGTTTGTTTACCGGCAGCGGCGATGGAGAGATTTATCAAGGAACTAGATGCCATGTTGAATGCGGATGAAGAACTGATTAGGGTTCATAGCTCTACTAAATATATTTTGTCTGCCCTATAAAATATGAATGTCATATACATGCATGTATTTCTTTGCTTTTATTTTCCCTAATTAGTTTCTTTTCTACTGTAATATGGACGCCTCCTTAATAATAGGGATGTTTTTGGTATGAATATATTCGAAAGTTCCTTGAATTCCTTCTGTGGGACTTGTAGGTTGAAGAACGTCGTTGGTAACTTTTCGTAGAAAAGAAGTATATAATTATTCTTTTTGTTAACAGATTAAATGTGTAAAAGGGGAGGACGAGACCTTGTCATATCAAGAGCTCCCTCTCCCTCATTTTAGGGAAAGCTATTCGTGGCGTTACCTTTTGAACTTGTAATTTGTTGCCAATTTCTCTTCTTTGAAATTTTTATAATTAGTCAATTTCTCTCTTATCTTAAGCTTTTATATTTATTTTCCATCTGACATTCAGTTATTTTATCACGTGTTATCCACGTGTAGAACATACAAAGAGAATATTTTTGCTCGGCACACTTAAATAATGGTGATGCTCATTACCCAATTTATCACCGTTGGAAGAGTTTAAATTCGAGATCTGCTTAACGGGTAAACACAAATCTTAAGTTTAAACTCATCTAATAGTAATAAGTAGGTGGTAAGCATTGCACACCACTTGAGGGTGATGAGAAAAAGTACACCCACATACAACAGGTAAAAAAGTTCTATTTGCCCTACACTAGGTCAAATTCTGCTCATGAAAGGTTATCAAAAAGCTGTTAGGAAAGGAGAATCAGATTTGGATTCAACCCCACAAAAGATGTTTCCAATCCATAACCCAAGCCTCATATGTAATCACAAACTCCTTCCCCCCTAACATGTAATGAAATGCAATGTGTTCATATTTAGAAGCATCATATACCAATCATATGCCAATAGTTCATTAACCATAAATCATCACAACGATATTGATCAAGGATATCAAATTCAAGACTCGCAGTATTTGTGTGACATCCCACATCATCCAGAGGAGTGATCCTTATATGTATATCTCATCCCTACTTAGCACGAGGCCTTTTGGGAGCTTACTGGCTTCGGGTTCCGTAGGAACTCCGAAGTTAAGCGAGAAGGGGGCTAGAGCAATCCCATGATGGGTGACCCACTGGGAAGTTGCTCGTGAGTTCCCAAAAACAAAACCGGAGGGAATGGTAAGCCCAAAGCGGACAATATTGTGCTATGGTGGTGGAGCGAGTGGTCCCCCCGGACCGGTATGTGACAATTTGTGTAAGTATATCACTCAATCAATAATAGAAACAGAAACATATAAACCTTATCAATACAAGTAAATGATTAGATATAAGTAAATGATTAACTTATAGAGTCCTATTCAAATATTAATCCCTAAATCCCCTATCTCAACTCCAAGCAAGCTAATATTTCTTTCCTTAGTTTTTCTCGTGCTCTTAGGCACCCTCAAGTCTATAGATGAATGTCGGAGTAAAAAGAAATGACAAATAAAGCAAATTTAGAATACTATAATATAAAATCACTGTTCATCATCCCTACCAAAGAGACTGCAGAAAAACTGATATGTTTTCCAGTTTTGCGGACAGAATATCTATGAACAACTTTTTTGACTAGTCAAAACTCAACGAAAATGTATGAATTTATAATTGGAAATGTTGAAGAATAATCTTTCCAACGATATAAAATTTGTTAAAATTTGAAATATGGAGGGAGAGAAATCACGAGTTGAAATAGCAAGTATTTGCAGAAAAATCTGCACCAGAGTTTTACACAGGTTCAAAGGGACCTTTTTGAGCATGGTTTTAAACCATCAAATATAAATGAAAATTTGTGTAAATACTCGATTTAAAGCTTATGCCCCCTCTTCAATCAAGCTTTTTAATGTAAGAAAACAAGGAAGAAAGAAGGGACTACGAAACTGACAGTATTGAAATCTGCACCAAGAAAATTATGAACACTGTTGCAACTTAAATTCTTTTGCTTTTCAGAGCTTGAAAAAGGACGATAGGAACATGAAATAGATACTCAAGGGTTTTTCTTCAGATCAAAATAAAGAATACAAACATGATAAATCAAACTGAAAAGAATATGACACCCAAAAGGAAAGATCTTACCCTTAAGCCAAACTTAAACCTCTTTCTTTCTACTTCAGAATTCTCACTCAAATTCTCTCCATTTGTAAAATAACTGAACAAAAACTTTCTATGAAAATTCCTACTCAAAGTCCAGCTATTTATTGGGAAATGTATCATTATTGGAACCTGAACCTAGACCTCCACCACCTGCTTTATAGCTGCGATTAGTTAGCTGCCCCATTCAGCATCCAAAAGTTCACACAACTGCCAACTGCAGCCATAGACTCCACAGCCCTAGCTCCTCCCACCCCCTGCTTAAGATTTTCGCCGTTTTCTAAAAACCGTCCGCCTCCTAGTTAGATAGTCTTCAATAATCAGTATGCTAGAATGTCACTAAGCATACAGTAAAAGGTAATTACAAAATGAATAAGGAAAGGAAATGATAAGAAGAAACAATTTCTTTTTGTTGGTTCTTAAGTTTAGCTAGAAAGTGGCTTCTAGATATCTCTCTTTTGTTTGGGCTGAAAAAAAAAGAAGAAAACAATAATAATCTAATTTAATAAAATTGGGCTGAAATTACGTTACTATTTGAGATATATAAAAAATACAAATGTAATGAATTAAAATTCTAGGTCTTCACAGAGATCATGCACACACACCATATCAAAGTGTACGATTTATGTCGTGTTTATCGGTGGGGAGTCTTTGTTGACTTTTGTATTTTAGGTAGGATTCCTAATTGTTATGTAATTCCGTGTATTCTCATGTAATCACTTGTAATTAGTTCTCTTTCCATTTATGTTAGGGTTGTATACCTTAAATACCTCTTATTGAGAAGAATATATCACAATCCAAAGTATTCTCTTTTTGACACCAGAGACAGGTTGGAAAAAAAAGAAGAAAAAACCCTAGCTAGATAGCACTGTTGCGGCTTAGCCGTGTTTGGTTCGCCTTCCTTGATTAGCAAGTGATTATCATCGTTGTTATCCCTCGATTAGCGAGCGACTGTTGTCGTTGCTACCCTCTTTGAATTTGAAACGAACAGTGAGCGACGCCGTCTTTGCTGACCCGAATCTATTGAATCGATTCACTCCGTTATGTGACGAACTAGACCTGCTGCCCTATATCATTGCAGCCCAACCTGAACCACAACCCCACCGCAACTGCTGTCCCATTGTGCCTAGAATCCCCGAACTCAGTACGAATTTGTTGTCCCATCGTGCCTAGAATCCCCACATCAAACCATCTTGCCTGATTGACTTCTGTCAACCGCAAAGAACCCATCATCACCGCTGCTACAACTCGCTTTGAACACTGTTGCTATTATCCTAGCTGTCTTCTTCGTGTGAAGGCTTGAATTACCCACACCACCGCTGCTGTTTGAAGAAAGGAAAAGAAAAAAAAAAGAAAAAAGAAAGGAATCAAAAGTCCACGGGAGAGAAAAGAATTGGCTGATTATTATGCAATTTTTTCCTTCTTTGGCCATCATGATTGCAGCTGAGCTTGGGCGTGGTTTATTTGGGCTTGGGCTTTATTAATTAGCTATCCATGTTGCACCCAGAGCAATGGTAGGCCGAACTTGTGGGACCAATCGTGACCGGTTCAAGTCGCGTGCATTGGTTGTCGAAGCTAAGTAGATTCTGACCATATAGGTAATGATGGTAAGGCCTTAAAAGTTTCTGCATCTGTTATGAATAGTACATGGACAATTGATTCTAGTGCTACTGAACATATGACTGGTGATTCTAGATAGGTACAAACCTTAAAATCATAAACCAATACTATAGTTAGTGTTGCCAATGGTAATGTTGTCCCCATTATTGGGGAAGGCGATGTCTCCATCTCTAATACCCTGAATCTTGACTTTGTACTTGTTGTTCCTTCCCTTGACTATAATTTATTATCTATTGCTCATATAAGTATCACCCTACATTGCCTTGTTATTTTTTGGCATTCCTTTTGTGTTTTTAAGGACATTCGAACTCGCAAGATGATTGGTTATGGTATTAGGAGGGGAAAGCTTTATTACTTGGAGCTGACTACGAACAATTCTCGAAATTTGACTCAAGCTCTTGCTGTGGAAGGATCTGATGGGGAGAGGGATAATGCTTTGGAGGTTTGGTTGTGGCATCGTCGACTTGGACATGCTTCTTTCGGCTATGTACGAAGGTTGTTTCCTAGCCTATTTGTTAAGCATGACGTTTCTAGCTTTAAATGTGGTGTTTGTGAAATGGCTAAAAGTCATTGTACTTCATTTTCGTCCAGTATGAATAAAAGTTTAGTTCCATTTATGATAAATCATTCTGATGTTTGGGGGCCATCTACAACTGCTATGTTTGGTGGTGTTCATTTGTTTGTTACTTTTATTGACGCTTGCACACGTATGACTTGGGTCTGTTTGATGAAGTCCAAAAGTGAAGTTCATTCTTTGTTTCAGCAGTTTTATAAAATGGTACAAGTACAATATAAGTCACACATACAGGTTCTCATGAGTGATAATGGCGGTGAATATGTTAACTTTGACCTTCATGCCATTCTTGATTATCATAACATTGTTCATCAAACCACATGCCCATATACTCCACAACAAAATAGGGTTGCAGAACACAAGAATTGTCAGCTTTTGAAGGTTGTTCGTGCTTCTTTGCTTGAGGCTCATCTCCCGTTATCCTACTGGGGAGAAGCCCTCACCTCAGCTGCATATCTCATTAATCGTGTTCCATCCTGATCCGTTGATTTTCAAACACCACTTCAGGCTCTCTCTTCACATATTGATGCTCTTGCGGTCTCCAATCTTCCACCTCATGTGTTTGGTTGTGTGGCCTTCATTCATCTCCATAAATAGCAGATGAGTAAGCTTGAACCTCGGGCCTTACGGTGTGTGTTTATGGGGTATGTCTCAAATAAAAAAGGATATCATTGTTATCACCCTTTGATGAAAAAGTTGTTTGTCACTATGGATGTTGCCTTTCATGAGAATGATATGTACTTTGCCAATCCTGAGTCTTCACTTAAGGGGGAAAATCAAACAGAATTTCAAACTCTTGATTATACTATTCTGGAGACAAATAATGTGAATGTTTTGGATTTAA